ACTAGTTTATAATTTTGTAGTGGGAGATGGTATCTTCTATAAATGGTACAACATAATTCATATTTCCCTTCTTCATAAAGTGGATTTGACCTTGTTGATATCTTTCTTCTTCTTTCTCGCTTGAATGTGGAGAATAAAGCATCAACATGTGGATTTTTTCACTTGAAAAAAGAGGGACGGACGAGACATACACCAATGTTGTATTACCTGTTACATATGAAAATTTCCTCTTCTCGTAGAACCTTCTGAAGGTTTGCATATGCGTATACTATCTTTGACAGATATAAATGAATGTTTCACTTTTTAATTTTTATGTTCTGACCAGCTATTATAAATGGGAGTTTGATATGTTGAAATTTTTTACTTGTGGAAGCAAATGCAAAAAGAGAAAATAAATGAAATTCAACTTAGGATATTTCTATCTATAGCTAGCATTAGGAAGTCATACAATATTCTTAGGAGTTAATGCGACAATAAAAGCTAACTGAAAGGCTAGCCTTCAGCAACCATTTAAGTTCACAGTTCAAACTTCAAGCTCCATCTTGTTTAACGTTGTTTGCAGTATCTATCAGTAAAGTTTTAATTAAGAACAGCAATACATTTCAAAATGGAAAATGCATTCCAAGGGGGAGATTGATAAAGTTCCTAATTAAGTAGTTGAATTTGGGTTGAGCAATGGATGGTATATGATACAAAGTAAGTTACATGTGTAGCATTAATTAACCTGATCATGGCACAATATTTTCTTTAACAATTCAAAGATTTGGCCTTTAGCCCTGTGTTTAGAAAGAACAGAACCTTACTTTCTGTATAGCATGCATTAATGTCATACATCTGTAGTTTTTCTTTTCTTTATGTTTTTATTTGATTGAATTTGTTCATTCATTCAACCCTATGAGCATCTATACAAACAATATTATGTTATCACATCATCAACTTCCTAGGAAATATATTTCACAATTAAAGTTCTTATCACGATTGGCTATTAACAAATGTTCCAAAGCAAATGCACCTCTTTAACTCGAACCCTCAAGCTTGACGATTCCAGCATTTATATGTTGAAATTCAGAATTAGTTTAAGTGCTAAATAGGATTAAAAAACACCGCGTTGCATAAAAATAGGCTTTTCATGACAAAATTTTCACGGCGTTTGATTAAAAAAAGGCCAGTAGCTTTCTTGATCTTGAAATGATGGTGGCGTTTTCAAGTAAATATTTTAAAATTAAAACAGTGGTGGCGTTTCTCATCCTTAAAGGCCTTTGAAATATAAAAAATTTGACGGGCACGAAAAGAAATGCAGAAAAAAAAGAGTGGGAAGTAGATTGAAATTTTAGATAAATTTAGCAACGTTTGTAATTATAAGCTCTACTAAAATTTAGATACTAGCAGCATTTGCATTTATAAACGCCATTAAAATCTGAAATTTATTGGAGTTTCATTTATATTTTTTTTGCCAGTATGTTCATTTATATTTAATGGTGTTTGGATTTATAAACGGTGCAATTTTGTCCAAATTTCTTAAACCCGCTTCATTTCTCTGTTTTCATTTTATAGGCTATTCTTTCTAACACACAATTTCTCCTCAATCACCCCAAAATTTTGTATTCCTACTCTGGAATCCTGAGTTTAACTCCCTTTTACATCTTACATTGGATCCCCATTAATAGTGTCAAAATTCTGACTCCACCTCTGTTACAAAGAACTTCTATGAGATATACTAGCAGTAATGATTCTCTGGAAAGAAGTCTTCAAAATGTCAGACAGGCCAACATTTCAGATGGTGGATCGCATCCTTGCATCAATTTTCTTTTCTTTCTTCAGACTGTTTTTCAATTTTATGAGTGCTTCTACTCCAAATGAGATGATTTTGTTGTTGGGTTGTCATATAGTACAGAATACCTAGCTGTCAGGACTTATGAATGTAAGTTCTTTTTTTTTTTTTTTTTTTCCTTTTTGATAATTTGGAAAAGAGGAATTATATTGGAACTGTTTTGAGTAAATATTGTAGGTATCAATCACACTTCAATAAAAAATATTAATGATAATTTTTTACTTTTACGTTTAACAATTGAATATTCAAACCAATACATAATGACATTAAATAATTCAGATTTATTTTTATAAAAGAGACACAATCTGATAATAGAGATTATATGTATTAAAATTTAAATTCTAAATTTATTAAATATTATTTTTTAAAAACAATTACATAATCCAAGTAAATAATCCTTGTGTTCAGTAACTAAGTAATTGTTTATATCATAGTTTAAAGCATGATTGCTAGACTTAGCTCCTTGAACAAAATAAACTTTACAATAGAATAAATAAATAAATAAAGGAAATACTAGCTAGAAAATCGGCCGTATCTATCAAGTGGATGCAATGTAACTTTTGCAGTTAGATAGAGATTATATCACAAGATTCATGAATTTCATGTCATCTTTGTATTGGGAATTTAAAAAGACAAAAAAGGAAACATCAACACTCTGCCTTTGACGACATTGATTGCAAAGTTAGAAAGATATTTATCCAAGAAAACGAAAAATTATTCATCAACTTTTCAAGCGATTAAAGTTAACAGGAAAGTTAGGAACCAAAAAACCTAAAGCGGTGCAAGTTGGATAAGCAGACCTAATACAAACAAAAAAGCAGCAAAAATCGCCTAAGTGGGAATAGAATAGGTGCTGTGTTATATTAGTAACCCTTTGGATTATGGAAGGACAAATTGTCCTAACCTGTAAAGTGGGCACGGACGCATTCGTTTTGCAGAGTCACTTGCTTTTGTATCAACAAAAGACAAAAACCAAATGCAAGAATGACTTGAATGAAATTTGGCCACATCTGTCTCTTTCTTGGCCTGTAGTTGAAGGATTTTATATCCCTTAACATTTTTATTTTCAGAGTTTGATCAACTTTGTTCTTGTTTTGTCTTGTTAAGCACCGCCCCAGGCCCCAAGTCCAACGTTGGATTTTAAAGAGCAGACGATGACTGTGCAGGCAAGTTTTAATGGGAGATGAATGATCAAGCTAAAGATAAACAGGGTGCCTCCTTGCTCATGTGGGGACCTAAGACAAATGCTTCAGCCTTTATGCAATTTGAGGGATAATTAAAGTTATCAGGTAATGGTAGGAAAAGCTATTAAACCTTGTAGAAAACAAAAGCAAATATCCCTACAGGATTTGTCAACTTGCATACGCCACACCATTATTTCCTGAGCTGTTAAACCTTGGACGTTTGCCATGAATTTCCAACTATATATGAGAACGGGTTTCACTTGCTGTCAAATGCCACTTGCCATTGTCATCCATTCTAGCTACTACTGATCAGTTTTTCATTCAGCTTAGAAATGCCTAACTCAACCATCATCCAGGCTTCCTTGGTCATCTTACTTATTTTATCAGGAAATGCAATTAATGTAGAAGCAAAGAATTATGCTGGGCGTAAGACAATGCAGAAAAGGATTTATAGCCAATCCATTATACATGCATTGGCAGGCTATGATTTGACTGCAATGAAGCATGAAAGGAGGGTATTGATAGAATCATCAAGAATTTCACCAGGAGGACCAGATCCTCAACATAACTAGTTAAGTCCCAGTCACTTGAGGATCAACCACCGGCATTGCCTCTAGAGATCAGCACTTGAAGGACAATGTGGTTGGGGTAATAGCTCTATTTGTCATTTCCAATAATTTCTCGTAATAATAGTGAAACTTCGATCATCGAGATGTGTTCATACTCATCATAGAACATCTCTGATCCGAGGACTATGTAGCTTAATAGCTTGAAAAGTTACATATATGTAGTATTAAGTAGTTGGATCAGTACTTGGACTAAGCTTTAACTAATTCAGTAGAAGTTTATTTCAGTTGAAATATAAGTATTGTTATGTTAGCTTCTTGAATCTTGTTTGAAACATACTTCTACTTGACTTCTCCAAATGAATGTCTTCTATATTTTTTTTGTCCAAGATATTAGCAAGGGAAAATTTTCACCATATACCCTAAAATTTGAAATCTATTTCAATTTGGTCCCTGCTTTCTATCTTTAATAAAAAAAGGCTTGTCTGGCATGAAATCTCATAGGAATTTCTATCAATTAAATATGTCAATTATCATTTTTAATGGAGAAAAGAAAAAAACTCAAGTAGTATGCAATTTTGGATTGAATGTGTAATTGATAGGCTTGGTTCTAAATTATTCCCCCAACTTAAACACTTCTAAATTACATTCTCTTAATTGTAACTGGTACAATCGGATAACCCAATTTAGTTGCACGTCAAACGTAGTTAGACATTAAATATGCCATCTGATTTATTTCCTTTTCTTGAAAAATGAGAGAAAATTATTAGTACTTGGACGAGTTTTTATTATTGGAAATATCCTTATGGGTAACTCAGTGAATCCATTCCTTCTCCCAGGTATCTCTGATTAGACCAAATATTATGCTGGCTCATTCACGCTTGTCAGTAGTGATAAAAACCAGCTCCCCCACCCCCTCCAACAGATTGAAATTGATCAAAATTTTCAGCAACCAGGGCATTAAAGATAAAGGAAAAGAACTGAACGCAAGGCAATGAATATGATGCATGAGTTTAGACTTTCTCGTTAGTCATTTCTTGAAGACACCATGATGCCCGAGATCTAAAATGAATATACTGCCGTCCATGTATTTTATCAAGGAAATCAATTATGTCAAATCCCCGTTATATCGGTGTTTGCACAATGGAAAAGTACCTCTCCATTGTCTCCATGGATAACACTATTCCACCCTAACAATTTTGTTTTTCCTATTGTTAGTAAAACTATTTTCATGGCGTTACAAGCTATCTAGAACTTTGGTCCTTTGCCCATTTTCATGCACCTGGAATGGGGACAGTGATCTGTTGCTACATGCATTGACTATAAGAATGACCAATAGGTAAACCATTTTTTTTCTAAAAGGTTTGGCAAGTGTTTTTCTTTGTTTTTGGCTTTTAAATCTTGGAATATCTCACACTCATTACTTTCACAACACAATGTGTGGAGAGTGGTTGTATTGATTCAAAGAAATGAAGTAGTTGCCATCTATAATTTGGGTATTCTTTATATATAATAGCATACTTCCATAACTACAATAACAGCAGAATATAAGACTTGAGACCAAAAAGAGATCGATCCTACCCCTGATATAATAAATATTCAGTGATCTTAACTACTACTGAAAAGCCTTAAGTGGGTCACCATGGTCAATATCAGCTAAAAGTGGGAGATCAATCGTTAGCTTTTCCAGGCTTAAGCCTCCCTCATTCAGCTTCTTGACTATTTCCTCAAATACAACCTTGTTGCCATCCTGAGTGAGGTGTAAACCATCCCTGCATTTTCAGAAACAACTTATTAGCAAATGGCTTAGTAGTCCTTTTTTTTAACAAATAATTCTTAGCTTCATTGACAAAAACGAAAGTGACAGATCAACAGATTAAGACTACTTAGAAATCACAGAACATATCTGATATTTCTGGCACAAATCAACAACTGGGAATAGGATTTTGACAGTAAATTACAGATGACAAATCACCAACCTATGGAATTCGGAAGTATTTTACAGCGAATACAGAAAAGTTCACAAGCAGATGCCAATGCATTGTTTCATAGGGAATATTCATGGTGTTCATTCCTTGCAGGTTTACTACTTTTTTAGTCTACCAGTCAAATCAGGCACAAGGCTAATCTTCGTACTCAGTGCGGAAGCTGCTATCTAGTATTAGAAATTTAGAATATACGTACACAGAATCCATAAATAGAGCAAAGTATGTTTTTAAAATTATTAAAAGCCGAAAAGCCTTGATACCTAAGATAAGCTTTCCGCCAATCAGGATACTGCTGCATCCTGGTCCAGAGATCTACCACAGGGATTCCACATTCTCCAGCAGTTTCAACACATGCCTTGGCAAAAGCGCCAGCAGCTTCATTTGTCCTTTCGGGCAAACCCGATGGATTCTCAGCATAAGGATGTCTGCATCCAGAATATTTCCTTTTGTTCAAGAAATTCATTTTTAAATTAACTTTGTATCAGAGGTCAAGGGTATTATTACACCAGTTTCAAGTAAGTATGGAGGTATTAAAGATATGGACAATGTAAAATGCAAACTAAATGGAACAAGTGGAACAATACCTAAGGCGTTCATCTTCATCGATAGGAGGAGGAGTAATTAGGAGAATGAGAGCCTTTGGCCACCGCTCCTGAGACCACGAAAGAGAAGGGAAAAGCATGCAAAAGGAAAATCTATGAGCAGGACCAGCGCGCACACACACACACACACACACACATATATAAACCATAGCAGACAACTTGCATTTGTTTAACATTATAGATAATTCCCCAAGAAAATCAGCTAATCAAGTTGATATAATAGGTTACACTTGCTCCTTCTAGCATGGTAGGCACAGCAGTGCAGATTAAATTTTGGAGACTGCTAACAGAAAGAGATAGTACAGGCCAAAGGGTGTAACAGAGCCAGAGAGAAATTCCTGGATGGATTCTCTCCCAAGTTTTATATATATATATATATATATATATATATAGAAACAAGTATAAAATCCCTGGTAACCTATTTTAGTGAACACTGTATAGAAAGACTCCTCCATTCCTGATAACTTTCAGGCTCCTCTCATCAGCTGGTTTGCATTGTAAGAAACCATTGATCGGTTGGATACTTGGATTTCAAAACTAGAACATGATTAATGGAACGAATTTCAAAAGGCATATTGAAATTAGTCAGCCTAGCTAATTTGGCCCAGAAAAAGGAGAAAAAAAAAAGAAAATATAAAAGATTATAGTAACTGCTCCCACACAAATGATTCTCTCTAGTCACCAAGAATTTGTTGAGCTTCCCACGTTTGCTTCAAAAAGCTAATGCGCTAAACAAAACCAGTGGGACTCCACCCTCCACCAAAATACTATTAAGTATCTAACAATTAGTCTAAAGCAAACATTGAAAAGGAAGCCAAAACAAATGGAAATGCCTATATGATTAACAAAGAAGTATAAACTACTTTTATATATTTTTTTATAATCATTGAAACCAAATTAGATATTCAGCTTTAGAGGCTACGCATCATATAATCTGATGTCCCAACTTTATTTCTTGAGGGCCACAAAGTGGAGCCATAGTCACAAAAGGACTTGGATTTTTTTCAACATAAACATTCTAGAAATACATACAAGGCCTTCCATCCAACCAAAAGAAGACGACCATAACTAACAAGAAATAAACATGGGTCGTGATCTGGGGCGCCATATATAGCTGCAACCCCATCAATGCCTATGATATTTATACCAATTTCTTGGACCACAAGAAACGTGAGGAAAAAGTCACTATTTTACCCGACAATTTTTTTAGCCTACTCTTTGACTAAAGAATACTACTAAATCGTCATTGGATTTAGGTAAGAAGATTCAATTCTTAAGTTAAAATAAAAATTTTAGGTAGTTTCTTGTTGGAAAACAAAAGGTAAAGATGAAAAGTCATTTCAATAATTATGATTCGAAATAAGAAGGTTAGTTGTATAACCGTTGAATAAAAAAGGCATACTTCCATCTTGCCATCTTTGTATCAACTGTAACATTTGATTTGAGATGTAATAATCATGATTAAAACTAGGTCGCGAACGATGACAGCAACAACTGGGCCTTACCCACCCACACTTTATCTGGCCATCTCTTGCTTTTTGTATTTTCGCAGGCCCACTTTCCCAACGAAAACGGTTGACCAGTGAGCAACTTGACCATTCAAAAATCTTTCTACCAAATAGGGTTCCTCACTCCTCAGCCAACGTCTTACTATATTCCACGGCACAATGCCAAGCGCCATGGCAAATTTATCATCCGAATATTAAAATCATAGGAAAAAACACAAGAAAAAGTTGTACAGTTTCAACGCCCAATCCTCGATTGTTTGTATCTTAGTCTAGGTGAGAGTTACTTGAAAATAGTGCTTTTTGACACTTTTTATTATAATCATCTGCTGTTAACGCAACTTGTGATATAGCAAGTACAAAATTGATCGTCAATAAGTTAACGTCCTTAACGAGTTAGCAAATTTGTAGTAGTATAGACTATAGACAAAGATCAGATGCCATAAAGAAGAGAGGTGAAGGGGGGAGATTGAGAACCTTGAGAGCGGAGACAATAGAGTGGAGATTCTGCTTGTACTCATAAAGTGGCACGTGTTGGAAAGCTGCGTATCTATCGGGAAGGCAAGCGTCATTAGCTCCAAAGAACACGGTTACTGCAAGTGGCAGTGCAGCACCGTCAGAACCACCTCTTTCCACCTCAGGAAAAACCCTATCAAGCACCTTTAACGCCCACCTTGTATTGTACCCGCTATACCCTCTTAGCACCACATCAACCTGTAAAACCAGAAACCCACATCCAAAATCTCTTCAACATCATAGAAAAACAATATAAACACTGCCATTTTAAAAACTAATAATGATTGAAAAAGGCTTCATATATAGATATATATAAATATATATATATATATATATATATATACATATATACATATACCGTTCGAGAGAAATGGTTGGTAAGAGAGGCACCCCAACCACCATCACCGAAGGACTCCTCCGTGATTGAGTCTCCAAAAAGATAGATCCTTGGCCTCATGTTTAGAGCAAAAACAATTCAAGTTCCACTTCAGAGGAGCAAACTTTGAGACGAACTAGCAAGAACCAAGGACTAAGGATGACTTGATCAACAACTGTGCATTGCCTTCTATTTGTAACAAAAAGCTGGGTATTATTAAATGCTCACCAACTTAGTTGCACCCTAGAAGGAGGGAGGAAATACAGACAAGAAAGGAAGGTTTTGTGGGATTCTTTTTGGCTGGTTTTTGGTCTTTTTGATTCCTTTTCTCAAAACGCACAAATGGCAATGGTAATATTTAAACAGCAAACTAACTCTACGCTAGACGTTGAAGCAACTTGTTTTGCAATGACCAAAGCAGCCTTTTTAGTTGGAAATAACAACAAGATTGCCACGGTTGGTTAAAGACTGTTCAAAAGTGTATGAGTTAGAATGACACGACTGGCTTTAAACTTTACATTAAATTCTCTCTTGTGAATTGTGATAGGATGTCTATGAATGGAGGTTATCTCTACCTATCACTCTCTCCTATCGCTCTCCGGCTCAGGGCATTGGTCCTTTTATCTCCCAGAGCTTTAATAGCAACTGGGGGCATTCATAATTGTGATGGGCCAATCATGCCTCACCATGGACATTTGGTCAATTAAGAAAGTTGTAAAAATGATAACCACTTCTAAGTTGATGCAAATTTTTTTAGCACAATTCTTGTTGGGTTTTTTTTATATATATATTTGAAATTATCATAAATTAAGCTTTTCAATTTCTTTTAAGATAATAAAAAGTTTTAGAAGAGAAAATGAAAGTTTTGACTCTTGAAATTTTTTTTCATCTTTTCCTCTTCTATTTTTGAAAATAAATCAAGATAGTAAAGCAAATGATGTGGTTTTGCCCTTTTTTATATAGTCCTTATAATATTAAGGGTAATTCTTTTGGATTTTTTTTTAGAAATAATTATTTTGGATTATAGTATAGATGTGTCCAATTTACCTAACTTTTGAAAGATTTTAAAAATCTTATTTTATAATTTGCGTTAATTGTTTAATGCAAAGCAGATCGATGATGTGACCTAAGAAAATCTCCAGCTGGACCACCCTCTCCACAATGAGGTTTGGTCCATTTTTTCATTTACAAAGTCGATTGCCAATGCATGGAAATATATATGTATTGGCATTATAACTTTTGCTATGAATTGTCTCGTTCAATTGGACAGTATCATAAATGATGAAAGAGTTTGTGTATTAAAAAGTTGCAATACTGCTATCATGACCAAAGCATGCATGAGTGGGAAAAATCTAATCCCATCCCATCTGCAAAAGGGTTAATTATATTGGGCGATATTAAAGGTCATACAAATATATGTAATGAATAAATTAAGAAGTTAGCTGAGCTGATTTTAAAATGTTTTGTGTACACAAAAATTAATAAAGGGAATTAAGTCGTAAAAAAATGTGAATTCAATGTTTAGTTTAAGTGATTTATACAGTTATTTTTTAAAAAATAATATTCAGTAAGTTTGAAATTTAAATTTTAATATTTACAAATTTTTTTTCCTAAATTATGACCTATTTTATAAAAAATGTTAAAAATTACAAAATGACAAGGAATATGAGTTAAAATTAAGAATTTATTTTTGAAGAACTCATTAAATTACAAGTTATCACGTCCTCAAGAAATAAATTTGAGAGGTGACAAGTCTTTAAAAAAAATTGAAATCAAGTTTTATTATTTACATTTTAAGATTGTTAATTTTTTAAAAATTTGTTCATTAATGATGAAACAATATATGATTTAATGATAATATATTAAATATAAATCTAAAATTAATGTGGACTCCACCGTTGATTAAGTTCCCTTGCTATATATGCGTTAATGCAGGGGGAAAAAGGTAAAACCGTTGCCGACCCTTTAATTTCGGTGATTTTGATAGGTAAATTCCTGGAAAGCCAAAAGACACACAAGAAAGGTAGTGGTGGAAAATTTTAAAGATTCTAATGAAGGAATCCTACTAATTTACAATCACTTCAATAATTAGCTGAAATGGCATGAAGTAATGAACATTAGGTCATCATCATTAATGAAAGAGTGAAGTTCATATTCCATCTTAATTTCAGAAACCAAGAGAGAAATGAAAATTGATGAAGGCATGCATGCCGACCAACTTTGATAGCCGTCGAAGCAAATGAAATCAAGTCCTATATTGTGATGCTACTAAGCCTTTTCCAACAAGAGATCTTACCTGTCTCAAGGGGTTGCTGCTCCCTCTAGTCTACACATATTGCTTGCAAATCAAGCTTAAAGTAGCTAATGTCTTGACAGGCACAACAGAATAATGATTAATGTTTTGCTTTATAATTAATTCCTTATTGTTACACTTACATTACATGAGAAAGCTAATAGATTTACTCTTGGTATTTGAATAATATAAAATTCATACATCTTTTTCTAATCATTTCCTTGAATGGAGAGTATTTAAATAAAAATAAAAATAAAGGGAAAAAGGTTCATATAATCAAGAATGTGGGACTATGTATATCGAGATTCTAAAGATTATTTTCCTTTTGTTTCTTTCTCAACAATCAAAGAGAAGCATGAATTACTAACATGTTATTTTATGTTGTTCAAAGTCCAACATTTTGTTTATTTGTGCACGCCAACGAAGCTACTTTTAATGGTCATCATATCATTTTCTATATTAACCGCCAAACTTTCCATAATTTTATAACCTTAATATTAGTATACACAGGAAAATGTCATCATGAGTATTAGCAAGAATTTTTTTTTTAATATCTTAAAAACTTAAAATTTAAAACTAGAGAAAAGAGTTACAAATATTAAATTTTAAATTTTAAATTTATTGAATATCGTATTTCAAAAATAATTATATAAATAATTCAATTAAATTTTGAATTTAAAATAGCAAGAAATTGAGATTCAATTCTTTTTATTCTCATAATAAATGTTAAGCACGTGACAGTCAAAATGTTTCATCCTCCATTTTGGTGAATATATTGCTTGAATTATAAAGACTTGCTAATTGGAATATGGAGTCACAAAACATTTTACTAAAGCTTATTTTCGAAAGCAAGTCATTAAATTTGTTAGTGGTAATCTACACCTCCTCGTAGTGATATATAGTGACAGCATCAATGTGGTATGTGGTGACCACTTCGTTCAAAAAGAGAAAAGAAAGCTTAAAAGGGTTTAAAATCTAAATCCACGCGTCATTAAGAGGGGCTGGAGTTTGCTATCCCCATAGATAAACATTAAAAGCTTCTCATACATGCGTTGTTTGCTTTCCAAGAAAATGATCATTTGCTCATGGAGATTTGGCCATGTCTTGTTGTCATTTCTCCTTAAGATATGAAAATGGTTCTCCAATAAATAAATAAATAAATACGATAAGAAAAAAAGAGGAAAAACATAGGAGTAATTGACCGACTGCTGTCCTGGTCAACTGAAAATTTGACTAATTTTATGGGTTCTTCTTTCTTGGACTTTGGACCAAACAAGAATCTTAATTAAAACCTAACTGGCTGCGATTGAAATAGGCCCAAAAATCCATACCCGTCTCTTTTATGACAAGTCAGAATTCAATGTGGGCTGGGTTGAACCTGAAAACTGATCCAAAAATTAAATTAGGAAGGAAAAAAGAAGAATAAAAAAAAAAAAACAAAGCTACTCCTGGCCTGAGCTGATTGCCTTGCCTGGTTATAAATCAGCAAATATCTGTCAACTGTCACATGGGAAAAATGAAAAATGGAAGACTACCCACAATCAGACCGTACATTTTCTCATCACCCAACAATCAAAACTTCCTCGTCCCACCTAACAACACTTTCGCGCCAGCCCACCAGTACTATCTCTCCAACCCAACCGTCACAACTCTCTCCATTGCTATTCAACACTTCATTAACTCAGATACCCCTTTCCATGGCCAAAAGATTCATACCCACATTATAAAATCTGGGTTTTCACCGAATACGAATATTTCCATCAAACTCCTTATATTGCATTTAAAAACTGGGTGCTTAAACTATGCCAGCCAAGTGTTCGATGAATTGCCGCAGCGGACTTTGTCTGCTTATAATTATATGATTGGCGGGTACCTTAAACATGGGAAAGTTGAGGAGTCACTTGGTTTGGTTCGTAGAATGGTTTATTCAGGTGAAAAGCCTGATGGATACACATTTTCGATGATTTTAAAGGCCTCTGCTTGTGGGAGTAATAGGGTGGTGCTGCCGCGGTTTTTAGGGAGGATAGCACATGCCCAGATGGTGAAATTGGATGTTCAGCCTGATGAAGTGCTTTATACAGCACTGGTTGACTCGTATGTGAAGACTAGGAAGGTTGAATATGCAAGGACCGTTTTTGATATGATGTTGGAAAAGAATGTGATTTGTTCAACGGCGTTGATCACTGGATACATGAATAAGGAATTAGTACAGGAGGCTGAAGATGTGTTTAATAGAACGGTTGAAAAGGATGTGGTAGTTTTCAATGCAATGATTGAAGGTTACAGTAAATCAGTTGAAACTGCTAAGAAAGGATTTGAGATTTTTGTTGATATGCAACGGTTGAATTTCCGGCCTAATATTTCGACTTTTGTGAGTGTAATTGGGGCTTGTTCTGTTTTATCAGCAGTTGAAATAGGTCAACAAGTTCAAGGTCAATTAGTGAAGACTGAGTTCTTTATGGACATAAAGATAGGAAGTGCTCTTGTTGACATGCATGCAAAATGTGGAAGAATTGAGGATGCCAGAAGAGTTTTTGACTACATGCCGGAAAAGAATGTTTTCACATGGACCTCGATGATTGATGGATATGGGAAGAATGGAAACCCAAACGAAGCGCTTGAGCTGTTCTACATGATGCAAGAATGTTTTGTTGAACCGAATGATGTTACATTCCTTAGCGCTCTCTCTGCTTGTGGACATGCTGGCTTACTTGCCAAAGGCCGAGAAATCTTTGAGAGCATGGAGAGAGATTACTCAATAAAACCGAAGATGGAGCACTATGCTTGCGTGGTTGACCTTCTGGGACGTGCAGGACGTTTAGATCTAGCTTGGGAACTTGTAATGAGGATGCCTGAGAAGCCCAATTCTGATGTTTGGGCAGCTTTGCTCAGTTCCTGCAGGCTGCATGGTGATGTACGAATGGCAAGGATAGTTGCCAACGAACTTTTTAAGCTAAATGCTGATAGTAGGCCAGGGGCATTTGTTGCATTATCAAATACTTTGGCAGCTGCTGGAAAATGGGATGGTGTCAGTGAGTTGAGGGAGGTGATGAAGGTAAGAGGGATATTGAAAGATGCTGCCTGCAGTTGGGTAGGGACTGATGGTGGTTTATAATGTTTCATCTTTCTGAAGCCATTTACAATTTTTCTTTTGCTGCCGTGATGGTGCGTGTTAGTAACGTCCGATGCAGTCACTCCAAAAGCTTGAATTGCTATTAACAAATATGTTGCGTTGATCATGGCTGGAAGAATTAATGATGTTCAAGAAATGGAATTATGATCAAAGAACAAGAATGGTGAGGTTTTGTCCTGAATTATTTATTTATTTTTTGTAGAAAGAACCCCGTAGACTTCTTTGATTCATGGCTTGATTTATTCTTATTCTTCAATGCAGATTGTTCAATACCCCTATGGTCTATCTAACTTGTGCACATTGATGGCACATCAAACGTGGGAGATGTCATTTATGGGAGGCTTGGTTGCCAGCTTAAATTATACCGCGTGGTTTTTGAATTTAAAGAAGGATATGCTGCTTCATGAATCATTGTTAATGCATCATTCTCACCAATCTGGGCCATCACCAAGCATTGAGATTGAAATATCAAACGTTGAGGTTCCTTCAGTGGGCCTTGACCGAATAAATTTAATCAGTTTGGTTAGTAATCTTCGCAAACATGGATAATTCATTGTTCATTCGTTCTTTTATTTAATAACTCAACTCAAGTGCTGTATGATTTATGTTTTTATACGATTGCTAATTGACACTGTAAAATCAATGCGTGAGAGGTAACTGGTAGGATATTCTTCATATTTTTTTGCTTTCTTGAAGATTATTGAGGTTCACTAGGCTTGCCTTGCCTTCCAGCCCAAACTCTCAGGAAAGTGGATCAAAACCATATTTCAAGACTGATCCATCAGGATTTCGCAAAAAGCACGTAATGGCTGCCCCAAATTGCTCTTAGGCCTAGCCCTGTCATGGAATGAGTTAATTGACCTTTTGAGTTTTTACTCCTGACATATGCTTTTAATTTCATTAACATTATTTTTTGTGATATAACCTAACCAGTATTGATATTTGCACCGTGGTAGGAGGTTAGAATTTTTTTTTTTTCAGATTAAGATAAAATTTATCACTATATTATGAGTCAAAATTAAATTTTATCAATGTGTTCTAATTTAGTTGAATTTTATCATTATATTTCTTAATTTTGTTGATTTTTTAAACATTAAAATTAATGAAAACTTACTATTAGAATTAATAAAATTTTTCATAAAATATTTCAAATTCATTATTTTCTGTTTAAAAATCAACTTTAGACTTTACAAAAAAAAAAAAAATCAACTTTAGACGCAATGTGTGGTTGGATTTATCATTATAGTTCTCATTATTCCACCAAATGACATGGTCGGACTAAACTCATCCCCACCAAATGAATTACTATAGGCTTTTCATTCAAAAGCCTAGAATAGCAAAGTTGGTAATGCCAGAATTTGGTTTCTCTGATATTTGCAAAATTTTTATTTTAAATCCTACAATGTAAACAGATTTATATGAGTTTTTTTTTTTTTTTTTAATTCAAATAGAGGGAAAGAGGGAAGGGGATTTGAGTATGGAATCTTGACATAGCTCTAGAAATCAAACTTGAGTTGTTGAAAAAAAAAAGATACATATGAGATTATTTTTGAGTTTACTGAATTAAAAATGCTATGTTAAGTTTCAAAATAATAAAAAAAAAGTGCAGTAAAAATGATTATTTTATGTCACTTAAGCCAATCAAGTATAACTTATAAGTCAGATTAATAATCAACAATCTCCAATTTAATTAGACAAATATCAAGATCAATTGGTCTCCAATAATTGCCGTTGCCTTGACCCATACTCAACTATATGCGGCTGTCACTATACATCAGCCCTATTCTAGCATTATGGTACATCTTTGATTAGAAATAAAATATTCCTTTTCTAAGTAAGAAAGAGACGCGGCTTTGAGTTCATAAATAATCTTATAAACTATTGGTAGAGTATTATGAATTATTATGTAAATTATTGATAGAGTATTATTTTTTAATTTTAATAATTATAAATAAAAAATAAATTTTGACTCTGCTTAACATTGCTAATTTGCAATTATCTATTAAATTTTAACTAATAAATATGACCTATCAGTTCGGGTGATGTGATGTCCATCAACCAACTTGCTCCTCTAGATGCACATGCTTTTTGCATTTTTTTTTAGTTTTTTTGAAGCTCTGGAAGAGGGGAGAGAGACAACAAAACAGTGGGCTAAAAAAGGCAAAGGAACTCATATTACTGACGGGAAACCTTTTACGCAGTTAACCAAAATACCAGATAATTGTGAGAGCAAAACTCATGAGAAAAATGCTCGCAGAGGCAGAACTTCTGTTTTTCTTGATAAAGTATAAAAGAAGCAAATTCAGAAGTCAAAATGTTTCTATATCCTAATGACTTTTCATTTTTACGAGTAGATGATCCTTTGAAAAAATATCTTGTTTTCTGAAGCCTCAAAGCAGAAATGGCAAAAGTTCAATAAATATTTATATTCATAGCCTAAAACATTCAATAATTGCCCAAGACCGGAGTTTTCAATTATTGGGACTCAAGCTGCAATTTTTCTTTTTTTTTTTTTTTGAAGTATTTACAAATATAAAAATGCCCATTAATTGAGAAACCCGACAGAGCCAAATGTAATGAAAACCAGGCCAACTTACTCCTGATTTCTAATCTAGTGGTCCTTTCATCCCCGTACCATTATTCCCTCGCATAAGTCCTAAATATTCCCACCCCCAAAACCTTTTAATAATCAAAAACCCTGCTCCAAACCTACAGCGATACCATAAATTATATAAACTAGAAAAACCACAACCTGGTTTTCACTTAATCCTTCTACTGTAAAAAAAATAAAAAGGAAAACCATCAAAGCCTAGCCAATGAATGTGACTTTTCTAGCATCGTTGCCTTTTTCCTTGAAACCAGCCCATTGTTAATCAAACCCACTTTCTCGTCACAAAACTTAGAATAATACCTGCGTCAAACCTTTAAAAACGCACCAATTTATTTAACTTTCAATACTATGTTTCTTAACATCACTCATATCAGAAAGTTCCCAACTCTTCCTTCTTTCTTGAAGTGTCATTTTATTACAAAAACTTATACTGCATGGATGCTGGTAACAAAATCGGTTCATCAGCTCATCCCACTTCCTTACCTCCTGGGATCAATGGACGTGCCTCGAGTGGCACCTTAGGAGGCCACCTGGCAAGGCGGCTGGTGGAGATTGGTGCGAAGGACGTGTTCTCAGTTCCTGGTGACTTCAACTTGACCCTTTTGGATCACCTCATAGCAGAACCTGAGCTGAACTTGATCGGATGCTGCAACGAGCTTAATGCCGGATACGCAGCTGATGGTTATGCACGTGCTAAAGGCGTGGGAGCCTGTGTGGTGACTTTCACTGTTGGAGGCCTCAGCGTTCTTAACGCTATTGCTGGTGCTTACAGTGAGAATCTGCCAGTTATATGCATAGTTGGAGGGCCTAATTCCAATGACTACGGGACCAACCGAATTTTGCATCATACTATTGGGTTGCCTGATTTTAGCCAAGAACTGAGGTGTTTTCAAACGATCACCTGTTCCCAAGTAAGTTAAAGAAACTTTTTCATTTTTATTCAATAATAAATATGATGTCTTTATGCAATTCTTTAATATATCCTTAGTGTTTGCTTATTTTCGTTGTAATTTTTATACTTGTTGTAAGTTACCTGATATACAGTAAGTTAATTAATACATTGATGATGGTGTGGTGGTGATCTAATATGACAGGCAGTGGTGAATAACTTGGATGATGCACATGAGCTTATAGATACTGCAATATCGACAGCTTTGAAGGAAAGCAAGCCGGTTTACATTAGTATCAGCTGTAATTTGCCTGGAATTCCTCATCCAACATTTGCTAGAGAGCCAGTGCCCTTCTTCCTTGCTCCAAAGTAAAGTTTTCCTCTGACTTCTTACTTTACTTTATTACCTAGATTAGTCTTTCCCCGAGTTATCAGTACACCGCTAGTGGTATATTTTTGAGGAATTGGGATGTGCAATTGGGAAATGAGTACTTTCCTTTATTCATCTAAGTGAGGAACATTTCATATGCTTGGAGAAGGTTGTTAAGAGTTGTGAATTCTGTAACCTGTCTGTCATGTATTACTGATAATTATATATAGTTAACTTGGTGAATGGAGGGTATTTGAAGCTAAGGAACGAACCTGGCCAGAAGGAAAGAGAAACATTAGTTTATATAAATGAAATGGTTGAAATTTTGAATAAGAAAACAGAGGTGTTCTGTTTTCTGCAGTGCTATTAGAAAGGTTCAAAGGGCCCTAGTGTTAGCCATAAGCTAGGGCAGAGGCAGATTTTGTGGGAAACTATCCATAGCTTTAGCGTGCCGATGTAATTGGACTTATTCGAGCTTGAGCTAAATTTTATAGGACATCTAGGTACATCATACATGTATCACAGTTGTGCAATGCAGAGAGCAAAGTATTGTGTTGGCATTCATTAAAAAAACTAATATCGTATTTTTTTCATTTGTCCAGACCACTGAGAAAGTGCCCTTGATTGCTGGGTGAAAGTTTTATTCATTAGAATGGCCTATTAAACAGAGGAGTGTCTGTTTCAGACATGTATGGCACCAAGTTACATGCTTGTGATGCTCATTCTTTACAATTTTATGCAGGGTAAGCAATCAATTAGGATTAGAAGCAGCTGTGGAAGCTACTGCTGATTTTCTGAACAAAGCTGTGAAGCCTGTCCTTGTGGGTGGACCCAAATTAAGGGTTGCAAAGGCACAAGAAGCCTTTGTAGAGCTTGCAGATGCCAGTGAGTATCCAATTGCTGTAATGCCCTCGGCCAAGGGATTGGTTCCAGAACACCATCCACACTTTATTGGAACATATTGGGGTGCTGTTAGCACCAGCTTTTGCGGGGAGATAGTGGAATCTGCTGATGCCTATGTTTTTGTTGGCCCGATCTTCAATGATTACAGCTCTGTAGGGTACTCTTTGTTGGTCAAGAAGGAGAAAGCAATCATGGTGCAACCTAATCGTGTGACTATAGGCAACGGTCCTTCTTTTGGGTGGGTTTTCATGGCTGACTTCTTAAGTGCGTTAGCCAAGAAGCTGAAGAGAAATAGAACTGCTGTGGAGAACTATCGGCGAATCTTTATCCCCCCAGGCATGCCTCTGAAGCATGGAAATGATGAGCCTCTGAGAGTCAATGTTCTCTTTAAGCACATTCAGGTAGGCACCAAGGTCATGAAATCTCTACAGTATTATATTTTAAAATATAGATTCACCGAAGGAATGAGCATATGAATCTTAATAGCCCTTTAGGAAACCTTCATATTGAATAATTAATGTGGTTGACTAACAGATATACTTAAGTGTGTAAGACATGTCTTGTTGGCCCTTACTGCTTTAATTTCTATTTCTTTGGAAGGTGGAAACACTTTCTTTACTTCATGCTGTAACATTCTTATCCTTTGTTCTTTCCTCTAACTTTATCTGTAAGATCTCTATGATATCTTTGAGACAATATGAATTGTTTAGACTTTAAAATGCATAAGCAGATGTGAACACTTCATTTGATTCTTTTGTCTTTCATTTAGCTGATTCGTCTCATTTTATTGGCGGACCTTGTTTAACAGGAGATGCTAAGCGGAGACTCTGCAGTTATTGCTGAAACTGGAGACTCATGGTTCAACTGTCAGAAGCTCCGTCTTCCAGAGAATTGCGGGTAAGCCAGATCATCTCAAATGGTAGATTTCTTCGAGTTTCTTGTAAGACTTATGTTTGTTTATTTTGCAGTGGCATAATGATTATTTTTATTGCTTGCAGTTATGAATTCCAGATGCAGTATGGATCCATTGGTTGGTCAGTTGGTGCCACACTTGGATATGCTCAGGCTGCTAAAGACAAGCGTGTAATTGCTTGTATCGGTGATGGTAGTTTCCAGGTGCGCAATATAATTTGCATTTAGTACTTCAATGACACATTTAGGGGTAACCACAAGCATTTGAAATGACAATGATATAGAAAAGTAATTTTTACTGTTTCAATTCTTTGACAAGTTGTGAAGCAACTCAATTAGTTCTTTTCAAGAAAAAGTTACTCCATATATATGACAAACACAAGAGAAGCTAAATCTAGGCTGGGAAACTCATAAACTGCAATATTTGCTTGGAAGTTGGAACTAACAAATAGCGAATAATTTACTTCTATATTTGAATAAGGTAAAGATGTAGCAACTAAATAATTTCTTTCTTTCAATTATTCAGATGACAGCTCAAGATGTTTCAACAATGATCCGATGTGGACAAAAAAGTGTTATATTTCTGATCAATAATGGAGGCTATACAATTGAAGTTGAGATTCATGATGGCCCTTACAATGTTATCAAGAACTGGAATTACAGTGGCCTTGTTGATGCCATCCACAATGGTGAAGGCAAATGCTGGACAACCAAGGTTAGTAACTTAGCATAACTGCCCAACAAGCCATAGCTTAATCAAGATGATAAAAACATAATAAATGCATAATTAGTTGTTCCATAATTCCATTAGGCTATAGTTCTCTGATTATCTTGTTCATTGCAAAAAATTCTATCGTTGTTATTGGGAAATTTTGATAGATTTCTGGACCTATCCACGATAGCAAGCATCTGTTTATCAAAGTTTCCAAATCATGCATAGGTTGATCAAAGTTTCCGAATCGAAAAGTTTATCATAGTTTCATTTTTTAAAGTTTATCATAGTTTCATTTTTTAAATGATTAGATGCATCCACAGGTAATGCAGAGTACCTCATTGGTAAGCATAAACTAATACTTTTATTCTTAAATGTAGGTGCGGACAGAGGATGAACTAAAAGAAGCAATTGCCACAGCAACAGAAGCCAAAAAGGATTCATTATGTTTCATTGAAGTTTTTGCACACAAAGATGACACCAGCAAAGAGCTGCTGGAATGGGGATCCAGGGTTGCCTCTGCTAATAGCCGTCCTCCAAATCCTCAGTAGTGCTGTTGATCCTGAATGTTTAGGTAAAGGCAAAGTTGAAGCACCATAAGCTTGAAATAAGATAGAAGGACAGAATTGATTGGCCTGGATGAGATTTCCGTCAATCTTGTTACTGCATTATACTTTGTAAATTGTGGAATTACTCTTGTTGACATGTTGCGTTTTTTCTATTTCTTGTACATGATCGCGGTGAATAAAAATTTTTATGAGCAAAAAGAGCTAATCAATGACTAGATTGTGAATAAGGGTGTTGCCCAAAACTACCATTAATCAAGAATAAAGGTATTATCGAAAGGGGTAAAAATAATAAAGCTTGAATGCCTCAGCCATGTCTAGTGTTTTGGGGGTCTCTTGAAATTAACCTGCTATTACCCTGTGAAAACTAAATATTATTATTTAAGTGGAAAGCTCAGAAATAAGTTCAGTTTTCAAGCCAAGCCATATCTTTTTGGAATGGTTTTCAGCATGTTCCTATGAATAGCAGAACGCAACGAGGATTTTGTCCTTTTGCTGCCAACAATAATGGCTCTTGAAATTCTCAACAACACCAGGAAATCTGGTGCGTATGTCCCAAAACCATGTCTCTGCATAGTGTGCTCCAATTTTAACACTACAATTTGAACTGTCAAGTGAATCTAATACAGGCAAGGGAAGCAGAAAGAGAGCAACCAACTAAAATTTAGGACGATGACAACATCATGTGTGGTCTTTTCTTGTAGTTGGCGAACTGTCATCTTCTAGTGATTGTCTGTTTCTCTTTGGACTCTGATCGTTTTTCATAGTTTCAGTTACTTTATATCAGTGTATTTTGTTGCAAATAGGGTCTTTAAATATTGGGTGCCGCCCTGTCCAGTGTTCAGAAGAAGAATCCCCTCCGGCCTAGGCGGGTTCCGTGGAGGGACAACTTGAATTGGTGAAAACAATTAAAAATTTTGTTTAAGTGCTTCAAAATGCTACTACTAATTGTCTAGCTCAGTTTCTTTTTCTTGGCCAGCAGGTTGTCTCAGGCTCTTAGGTCTTAGCTCAGTTCAGTTTCAAAAAGTTGTCCACGTGTCAAAATTTCATTAGCAGAATCCAACTTATCGAAAACCACAACTTTATTTTCTCTTTCCTTTTTCCTTTATTCGCTTTTCTCAGTGATACTCGCCACTCTTTTTTAAAGCTCTCTTGCTCCATTTTCCCTTCAAAGCTTAACAACCTACTCGCCTGTCTTCTACCTTAAAAAATGAAGATTACCATGTTGAAATCTGCAGGGGCGGCGTTAAAGAAGGCCACGACTGCGTCACCGAGCCCATGTGTATCAACCCATCTCCTGAGTAGGGCCTACTACTCCACAGGGTACCCCGAAAGGAAAGTTGCGATACTGGGAGCGGCAGGGGGCATTGGACAGCCATTGTCTCTGTTAATGAAGCTAAACCCATTTGTCTCTTCCCTTTCTCTTTACGATATAGCCAACACTCCCGGTGTTGCGGCTGATGTCAGTCACATTAACTCTCCTGCTCAGGTCTTTTTTCTTCTTTTTCTTTCATTACATTCCTTCTTTATATTTATGTTCTATCTGAAAGTAGCTTTATTTTTCTTTATATAGAAAATTTACTTTTACTAGTATATATCATTATTGTAATTTTGTGACTGAAAAAAATTGGTTTCTAAGTGGAGAATAAAGGGTTATATTTTCTCAATTCAAGTTCTTGTTTTTAGGCAAAGTTTTCGTTTTCTTTTCGTTTTTGCTTTTTTTGCTATTAGGTTTCAGGCTTTTCTTTTTGTTTTTGCTTTTTTGGCTATTAGGTTACAGGCTATGTGGGTGAAGAACAGCTGGGTAAAGCATTGGAAGGATCTGACCTTGTGATTATACCCGCTGGTGTTCCAAGAAAGCCTGGAATGACCCGTGATGATCTTTTCAATATCAATGCTGGGATAGTGAAATCCTTATGCGTAGCCATTGCTAAATATTGTCCTAATGTGAGTCCCTCACTTTGTCTTCCCTACTTACATTTTTGCCTATGCATATGCTTATGTCATGAATTTTCTACTTATTTTTGGGGTAGGCACTGGTCAATATGATAAGTAATCCAGTGAATTCAACAGTCCCTATTGCTGCTGAGGTTTTCAAAAAAGCAGGGACCCGTGATGAGAGAAAGTTGTTTGGTGTGACTACACTTGATGTGATCAGGGCTAAAACTTTCTATGCTGGAAAGGCTAAAGTACCTGTAGCCGGTATTGCTTATTTTCTTGCTTTGAGTACTTTGTAAATTCCTTTTTATTTATAGTCTATTATGTTGCCAATAAAATGCAAAAACACATAGAAAGTTTATAGTATTTGGCCTTGTTTATTGCATATTGCAGATATTGATGTACCGGTAATTGGTGGCCATGCTGGCATCACCATCCTCCCACTCTTTTCTCAGGTCTCTCCTTTTTCCCTTCTGTGTGTGGGGGCGAGTGTGTGTGTTTTGTTTGTACTCTGGTTTTTCTATATTTCACATTGGATTTTTTGTTCTAAGTTTAATTGTGGTTGCCGGTTTAGTATTTCAATTTTGTTGTTTATATATGAATGAATAGGCCGCACCAAAAGCCAACTTGCCGGATGATGACATAATGGCTCTTACTAAGAGAACACAGGATGGAGGAACAGAAGTTGTTGAAGCAAAAGCAGGAAAAGGATCTGCAACACTGTCAATGGCGTAAGTATTTACTGCTGTCATCTTGTTTCCTTCCATGTTTTCTTCATTGGTAATTAATTTTCTACTATCTGTTGTGCCATCTTTGGGGGGTTTTGTAAATTATGGTTGAGGTGAGATTACCATGCCAGAAGCCATTGCTCGTGTTAGAGGAAGGTGCATATAAAAGATAAATCTTTCCCTCTTCTAGCACTTGTCCTTAAATAGCAGAATGCTTCCTCCACCATGTTTTAGCTGCATGAGCTCTTGCGTATACTCATGATCGCTTAATCTCCTGAAACAAGCAGAATAGGGTTTGGGGACAAAATTTATTTTTATCTTTTTGGTGCTGAAACTTTTCAAGTAAATTTGAAGTGAATATTTATGCTCTTGAAACTAATTGATCATATCTGGTGCAGCTATGCGGGTGCTGTTTTTGCTGATGCTTGCATAAAGGGGCTTAATGGAGTCCCAGCTATTGTCGAGTGCTCTTTTGTGGAATCAAGTGTCACTGAATTACCATTCTTTGCCTCCCAGGTGACTAGATAAAAGTCATTGGAACTTTTATGGTTTTTTATTTTGTTATCTTTTTGTTTGATAATGACTATCATGACTTATAAAGATAACTTAATGGCCCTGACATAGAGGTTTCATTAACTATTATATCATCAAAATATAAGCAATTATATTCAAACAGATTTCTTCCAAATATGACCATGTTTGTGTTGTCAGATAACTATGAATCTCTATGGCATCTCATGAACTGCTACATGATTTTGGTTGCAATGTTCATCTTGGCCAATGTGGTTGAATTTATGGTCTTGAATCCTTGATAATTAATAAGCATATAGCAAGTAGATTCTTCTTAATTTATTTTTTGGTAGAAATTCATTAGGTTATAAGTTTGGCATTCATTTATTTGTAAGAGCAGTAAACTCTAATTCATGGAAAATAGATTATTATTATTATTATTATTGGAAGTTTCAAGATCGATTTGCTATTGAGTTTACGCACTGTAGCTTTTATTATCTTTGATCAATAACACTACCAAGTAGGTGGAAAAAGTAATGCCAATTACCTGAGCCTAAATGATTTTAGCTCACGTTTGGTATACAAGATTATGATAGGATAGGATAAGATGATATTATGAATAAGGTTAGATTAAATAATGTCATCCTATCTTATGTTGGATGTATGCAAGAATTAAAATAGAATAATTTATTTATTAGTCAAAATTATCTTTTTTTAAAATTTATACAATTTAAATTATTGATGTAATTTTTAATGGTATAATAATAGGACATGTAAGTTAATCCCATGGTTTAAAAATAATATTTTCGATTTTGAGAGAATTGAATCATCTTATATCAAGAGGATGGTAATCCTCCTTATAATTTTATCTCTTGCAATTAGATACAAACCAAACATAATATAAAATTATTATCTTACTATCCTGTCTATTATCCTATGCATCAAATATGACCTCAGACTACTATATTTTTCAAAAGTTAAGTTGATGCTGGTCGTATCCAACTTGTGAAATCATCGCATAGGTTGGACTAGTAGGTGGTGCATTAGTGTTTTGAACTATATACTAGAACTCTTGTAGTGGGACTTATTCAGAAATCCATATCATATTGCTATAAAGTAACTGCAGTGGGAAGCTTATTTGCTAATCTTGTTTATATGTATTTGTTTAGTTTTATTATTTGGGTGGATGTTCCTTTTGGATTGTTTATCAAATCTCAATTTTGCATATCGAAATTGCAGGTAAAACTGGGAAAGGATGGTGTTGAGCAAGTCTTTGGACTGGGTCCACTTTCTGAATTTGAAAAACAGGGTCTTGAGAATCTCAAACCGGAACTCAAAGCTTCTATTCAGAAAGGAATTAAGTTTGCCAACCAAAATTAAGTGGATTAATTAGAAGGTTATGATCACATTCAAGTTCCCTGGTTTTTCTTGCTGTTTATAATATTGCTTTCACGCAAAGGGATATTGTGTCACCAGTTAAAGTTTGCTGTGAGGTTTGTCAGACGATTAAAATGTAATATTCCAAATAATACTTTGCTAATCTGCTGATAGTTCCTTATGATGTAGGCTGATTAAACAAGGTAATTCTGAGGAGGATTGATAAGTTTAAATTTCCTTGAACAAGTGGCAGTTCTGCCGCTATTTAGAAGAAAAATGAGAGATGCCCAATAAAGAGAAATAAGAAAATTTCTAGAACTGAGAAGTAAATGATCATCAAAGAAAAGGGAAGGGAGCCTACAAAGCGTAACATTCCTTTGTTCTTAATGTTATGAGCCTTTTGTTTGGACTTGTCCTTCTATTGAAATCAATTATTTGATATCAAATTAATTAAAGCTCTTTTGAAACAAAAATTAACATAACTCCTATTTAACGTGAAAAGGTTTAAAAAAGAAAGCCTAAAAAAAAAAGGCTCCATTAATTCTAATAATTGTGAATTTGTGACAGTAGTTGCCGTCGGCAATCATTATAGTAGTGAAAACTTAAAATTAGCCGAATTAAAAATCGAAAATATTTGACGGAGTTGGCAAACTGAGGTTTCTATTCGGGCAATCCTGAGGGCAAGATCCGTGTCTTTGTCAAGAACCACTCGATCATATAGAGTTTTGACAAAGTCGATGTTTCCCTTTGCAACCTTTGATCCTGTTGCAATTCCAATCCCGATGTAGAACTCTTGCTGAAAAGCTTCCCAGGCTGACCAGAACCATTGGTAAGAAAAAGATGCTTATTTTTATTTCTTTTCCCTGCTTCTTTGTTTTCAACCAATAACAGATCATCTGCCAGAAAATTTATGAATTTACAAGTACTTACCAAGTTTACAATTAGATTATGCATCGCTAAGAGGAGGAAAAACTATGGACCGAAAGGCAAAGCTAATTCAAGGGAAAGAAAAAAAAAAAAAAAAGAAACAAAATGTGATCAGTAACTAAACTTACATGGACTTTGTTACAGGGAATAATAATATGATTAAAGCTTACATTTTTTTAGCAGGGATGGTTACAGAACCAATTGGATGATAACAGGTAGACATCTGAAAATTAGAAATGCAAGAAGAAAAGCATCTTTCATTCTCTAAGGCTATGCTTGGATATTATTGTGTTAATCACTTGCGGGCAGATGATCAGGAACAGGGAATATCGAGCCCAGGAATGGTACGTGAACCATCCAGAAGAGCCTTGAAAATCAATCTATAGGTTGGTTCTGCGAAATGGAACTGTCCCAGCTAACATGCGAGGAAAGATCATCACAAGATTTTGTGCCTGGCCTACCACAACCTGACGAGAAGTTAAAATTATATGGACCTCCGCCTCCATAGCAGGCAGTACTAGTCCTATTAAATCCTGGATAGAAACGGGATTAAGCTGTTAGTAACAACATATGCTTTAAGTTATTAGGTTAATAGTGAAATAATGTGAGATAAAGAAGACAAAATCACCAAACATCCTTGGATAACGATATAATGGTATTGCGGCGTGGTAATAATCTGCATAAACAACGTTGGCTCGAGGATACCTTCAGATTTTTTTTAGTTCTTTTTAAAGCATTTCATTATAGTACTTGGAGAACTCGTTTAGCCAAATCAAACAACCAGAGCGGTCATAATCTTGCTTATTAGAAGTCTGAAAACGCGTTAGATAGATTGGCACACATCCAATTGGTAGATTTCCTGGAGCCAGAAATATCACTGCCCCCAATTTGATTAACTCCTACGTTGTATTGAAGGAAACATCCATTAATAATTATTCACAAAAGTTTGCAACACATCAAAATAATACAGTTAATATTCTTTGAAATTTGCCTGAAATGCTTTGTGATGCCATCCTTGTTACTGACTAAACTGAAACAAAACGTAGTTAAGGAATGAATTTTTTGGCCGTTTAGTTTGCCCTGGCTCTTCACTTGTCCCAGGGTTCTTACCTGAATTGCTGAAGAAATGACATTGATAACATCAAATACTCGTCCTCATATCAAATTAGTCGTAAGTCGTAATCCCTTGAAAAAAAAATGCAGAGTTGAACTCATTTCCTCCAGTCTCTCCCATAAGAAGAGTTTTTAAGCAGCCCATTGCATTCTGTGAATTATCATTCACACATATATCAATGATTAGCCAATAGAAAAAATCCTTTGCCAAATGAATCAGCAATTCTGGCAGCAAGTGCTTGGCCATATGTAGTACCAGATGATATAATTTTTGGTTATTTTAGAACTACAGCATCTGGAAAAGCTGTCTAAAACTACAGCATCTGGAAAAGTGGAAATGCTTGCCTGAAGAACTGTAAGCAACCCCCCCCCCCCCCCCCAAAAAAAAAAATCATTCCAAGAAAATTAATTCAATGGAAGAATAATTGAAAAGACTGATTAACAATTAATAAAAGCAACATCGTGCTAGAATATTGAATTATATGGTATAGGTATGCAATATTTTATGTTTTTCCTTTAGGTTAATACATAAAATGTCTTTTGAATTATACATTTTTTATCAATTTAATATTTAAAGAAAATTTCTCTTTTTGGTATTTCAATTGTCATTCCATCAAATATTTTGATAATTTATCGTCATTTATGTGATTGTCATGATATGATTACCCAATAAAATTATATCAAATGTCATAAATGTCTACTCATTATAGCAAAAAATTTTCTCTCTTCCCTATTCTTTCCCTTTCTCTTAAAAAGATATATTTTTTATTTTGAATTAAAAAATATACTTTTTAAAATTTTCAAATTTTTTATATAAATATTGATGTAAAAAATAAAACATATGACAATGATCGGATATTTATACCACATGTTATAATTTTATTAGATATTAATGCAACATAAGCAAGTTAATTAATAATGTTAGATTTAAATACCAAAATATTTAATGGAATGAAAGTTTTAATATAAAAGTAAGAATTTTACTTCTTTATGTATCAAACTAACAAAAAGTATATAATACATAAATTTTTTTACATTTAACCCTTTTCCTTTTAACAAATTATAATTTTCATATATGATTAAATACAAAAATGACCCCTATACTATATATTTTTTTTATCAATTTGGTACTTAAAAAAATAAAATTTTTACTTTAATATGCAAACTTTTATTCTGTCAAATATTTTGACACTCAATCTAACACCATTAGTCAATTTACTCATGTGGCATTAGTACCCAATAAATCATGAAAAATGATATAAATGTTTAATTATCACATCATTTATTTTTCACGTTAAATTTTAAATAAAAATTTTAATTTTTTTTAAAAGATATATATTTTTAATTCAAAAATCAAAATAGAGAAATAGAGAAAGAATAAGGGAAAGAGAAAAAAATAAAATTTTTGTTGATATTATAATTATTGACATAATAATAACTAGATATTTATGACATCTAATGTGATTTTATTAAGTATTTATGTTACGTAAGTTATTTAATTGATAATATCATTACAAAGTACCAACATGTTTTAGGAATGAAAATTGAAGTATTAAAATGAGAATTTTATTTTTTAAAATATTAAACTAACAAAAAATATATAATATACTATATATTTTACATATTAACCCTTACACATATAGAAATCAGATCGATTTATTCTCAAAATTTATTTTCTATAATAACCTGCCTATTATTAGAGTAATTTCAATTTTTAATAAGATCAATTGATCCCATTAATTATAATGCAATCCATGTAACTTGGGTTTTGCGTTTAAAAAATTATATAGAGATCAGGATTACATGCTGTGTTTAGTGTTTAGAGATTTTACTTGGTGAAGTTAGGAATTTCTCTCAAAAAAAATTTTTTTTTTCCAAACCAAGGTACTTTTTAATCTTAGATCCTTAACTAGAATACTTCTAAATTTTATTCCTAAATAAAGTTAGCTTCACTCAATTTCATTCCACGTCGGCTTCTCCTTCCTCCACTTCTCTCGCCTCTCCCTGCAAGGTTACGCCTATGTTGAGCGCTCCTGATTCTTCGCTGGTGCCATTTTTGATAGATAAACCGGAACAGGTGGTCTTGGATAAACAAAGTGACGCTTGAGTCTTCTGAAAAGTAGAGTGTAGACAGGATGATAATAAAAAGGTGAGAGGAATATCAAAATTAGCAATCCAACGCCTACAACAAGAAGCACACAACTGATGATAAGCATCAATGTCCTAGTAGAACCATTCATGATAGCAGCAACAAAAAAAAACCAAGACCTACGATCAACAACAAACATTGTTTTGACCAAAATTCCACATCAGCTTCTCCTTCCTTCACTCACTCCCCTCTTCTCTCTCTCTGCAGGGTTGCGTTACGTTTGTATTTGTTTCAGCTTTTTTGGAAAAAAAAATTTTCTCAATGTACTTATATTGAAACAGTTTAAGAGATTTTTTTTGAAACAAAAAATTTACAGAAAAATCAAAAGTTTACCTCAAATATAACGACAACAAATCAAAGCTGAAAATCAAATACGATTACGGTGCTTGAATCAAAACATGAAATATTCAAAAAGTAAAGCATTAATTATTTTAATTCCATCAAATCTCCAACGATTCCCCAATCGGCTTTAGAACCCAGAACAGTATCTCTTTGTTCTACATGTCAACACCAAAATGCAACCCATTAAAAAAAAAAATTGCAGAGCTTCTTTCAATTTGAAGAAGCCCAAGAAAACAAAAAAAGGGAAATATAATGGGTTAATAGCTTTCATTTTGTTTTTTAAATAAAAGTGGGTTTGTTCTCAAGCATTGAACTAACATTACTAAAAAAAGGCAAGATTTCTAAAGTTTTTATTTTTGTTTATAAGGAGATAAGAAAGGACAGTGAAAGTGAAGAGATCAGAGATGAAAAAAATAAAAGTAATGATGTGAAAAAAAAAATCCCATGCAAAAGAAATAAAATTAAAATATCCTTACAAAAAAATAAAAGTAGGATTTGGTTATTGGGTCATAGAAGATTGTAAGGATGATAAAAGCCCAAAGCAGACCAAGAGCAGTCCATCCAGCAAATCTATGAATCCTTTCAAAGACGTTGTGATGGAGATGGCGTACTAGAGGAAATGCGGCCAAGCATGAGAGGCAGAGAAGGGAAAGACTAGTGGAGGCTACACCAATGATCTCAGGAGAAGTATTTTCTCTGTCATTGAGAGTAAGAACTAAGGCATATATGAGCCATGCAACAGAAGAAATTCCACAGCTACTGTGCATCCCACCAAGACTTTGGAGGAGGTATGTGGTAGCAGTCTTGATTGGGAAAGGTACCCAAGACCTTCCCAGCACTTTAACTGCAAGCCAAAAGACTACTCGCAGGAATGCCTCGCTTCTGCAGAGTGTCAAAGCAAGAATGTTGGCAATGGAGAAAAGGGCAGCTCTATTTCTTGCATATGGAAAGTGTCCAGTGGCAGCAAGCCCCAAACCAATGATGTTCAGGGTTAAGCAGACCACAAAGAGTCTTTTGTATACAGTGAACAGCCCTTGGTCAAGCAAAATGACTGATAATCTTGATTCCTGCTTGCGAGTTGGCTTTGGTTTTTGTTCACTTTTGCTTAAGGATGGAAAAATTGGCTTATCTCCTTTCTCCTCATCCTTTCCCTCTTCTAGTCTTTCCAATATGACATCATCTTCATTTTCATTTTCATCTTCGTCGAGGTCAAGGTCACAGAAGTGACTGCTTGCTCCACTCACAGACCTTTGTATGGAAGAATTAGGAAACACCCCGGATGAGCTCCCTAGGTACCAAGGAAACCAAGATTTTTTGCTGCTGCTACAAGGCTCATTTTGAGCTGGAGTTGGAATAGCAAATGGGTTTGCATGAGGTTTGATCTCGAAAGCCACGCCTCTGCAGCTCGAAAACCTCACTGGGGTTTGCATGTTTCTCACTTCGAACAAGAAATATTGAAGAGAGTTTATTGCAAAAGAAGGGAATAAAGATTGCTCAAGAAGGCTAGTGAAGTTGTATATGTGCTGTGCTCTTTATGCAAAGCAAAGTCGGCTATTTATGAGCCTTTCTGAAGCGTCTTGGTTGACCCTGCGGAAAGAATGATGATTTTAGTTTTAATTTGTCAAATAGGCTGAAGTGGCATTAATTTGGAAGGAAAACTAAATTGTCTGTGACGCAGATAACCAAGATTTTTTTTTTTTTCAAAAAAAAGTAACACTGTGTTACATAAAAAAAGAGAAGGGTATTTGGATCGAATTCAAATTTTAATGTCTTCTTCAAGGCTTCTAAGCTCTAAATGGAACACAGATAACCAAGATAATGTTCTTCAATGATCCGGTAAAACGTACACATCAAAGTAATGTCTATAAGTTTACTATTTGGATGATGAAACTACCCTTGGTCAAGGGTAACTTAAAGTAGTAGTATTTCTTGCTTCCATGTACTTCCACCCTTCAATTTTAGTTAAGTGATTCCATTACACTTTAGTACTCTTATTTACCCCTTATTTGTCAGATAGTTCACTGTATTCTGGGCTTAATTAGCTATACTTATCTTTGTTTTTCTTTTTTGAAACCGTTTTATTGAACCAAAGCAACAAACGGCACAAGAAGCCTACAAGCCAAGAGCAACATCTAAAGACTACTTTTAACAGCTACAAGCAGTGACCCAATTAAAATTAAGCGTCTGCTAATGGGGTAATGGGGTTGTTTGACTCTCCACCAGGTCAATAACATCATCCATGGAGAGAACGCTGACTTCACTGGAATCTCTCTATGAATAATGTAGGGAAAGCATTTTTTTAATTAATAAGGTGTTATGAAGAACAATTATAGGGAAATTATTGAAGAAATTTAACATCATGATTCTAACATGTTCTCTTCAATAATATATTACACCATATGTAATGCTCCAATATGAGGATTTGTTATAATATATATATATGTATATATAAATTTATATTTATATTTAATAAATGTATTTTTTAAGATAAAATTATAAAATATTTGAATTAAAACGAATAACATCTCACAAAATTATTAATGTCCAAACTTAAGGTCAATTTCAATTCTCTTCATTTGAATAGCCAAATGGGAAAGATTCCATTCCATCAGTAATCACAAACAAAAAATAGAAGCAGACTTGCTGCCCTAAGCACTCGTTATTGGAAATTTTTTCAAAAGAGTAAAAATGAAAAGGCAGCAACTTATGAATAAAATGTCTAAATCCCAAATTATGGTCCTATTTTTTTCCATTACAAAGTGGGAGAGACCAAGGGGACGTTCAAATTCACTATAATGACAGAAGATCCTCTAGGTGTGATGACAAATGCTTCATCTCATTTAAAATGTTACTTGAAAAGGAAGAAGAATATGATCCCCTTTATTTGTCCTTTGGTGAGGAACCATGTCAATTTTAAATGAGACAAACAAAGGGGATCTGAACATCATATTTGACCAGCTTTTTAATTTTGCGGCCAAAGAGCTTAGGCAGATGATTCATACTGTACAAGATCTGAACATCACCATAATCATATACCTGAAAGCACACATTTCAAAAGCCCCGATATCCCTGTATTTATTAGCTGGCTAATTTCGATTCCAAGTTCCAATTTAGTTGCTCCATCATTGTTGTTTGTACTACTATTTTGGTAATATTACCCCTTACACAATTCTATTTTATATTTGGATCAATACGTTAGTTAAAATGCATTTCTCTCCACAGCCATTCTCACAGAGCCTTTGCCATTTGCAATAATATAGAGTGAGATAGCAAATTGATATGTGCCGTTGTATTAAAAAAAAAAAATTTGAAACGAGCAAATTGATTATATAAAGGAGTAGTTGACCATATTTTTATTGCAATTGTTTTTGAAGTTTTATCAATTTATCAGTTTTGTGAATACAAAACCATAATTTCTTTGAATTTTTTTTTCAGTATAGAGAGTAATTCACCAGTGGAAATACATGAAGTGGTTGAATAAAAAATTATTTTTAGTAATAGTGCAAATAAATCTGACAGGTAACTTCTCCAACTGCTCCAACTAGTTTGGTCAGCTCCTTAAAGAATATAAAATTATATGGAAATCTAACAAATATAAGAATTGTCATAGTTTTTTTTTTTTTTTTTCTCTCAAAAGGTCAACTAAAAATACTTAAGAAAATTAAAAAACTATTTCACTTTCTCCCCAAGAATTGTGGACAAAAAGTAATTGATAGTGGCCAATCAAGCACAGCCAGATGCTTTGCTGAATATAGAGGAGAGTTTCTGCTCCCAAAATTAAGATTTTTGGCAGAAAAGCAATGATCTTCTGCAAGTGATAAGTTGCATTTGGTTTGCATCAGTCATTTGCAGATTATAGATTTTGATTTTTGCGAAAGCAAAAATTTTTGAGCAAATGGAAAGTGGGATTGACTTTCTCTAAATTACTTGTATATGGGATAGAAGAGTTCTATTATTTTTTGTTTTTCTTTTTCATGGATATAACACGTTCAATTAGCAGATAAACTAATAATAGTAACATGTAAAATATCAGGTCGGTTCATTTTATTTTTTTTGGGATATCTAATAATACCACCGGTAGGCCTAACTATTCATTTTCCCCTAACTCTTAAATATAAATCAATTATAAACAACTACAAGTATAATTATTTTTTATAAAAAAAAAAAGAGTTAAATTTAAGGTATCAAACCAGAAAATTAAGATATGTGAGAGTCAATTCCATGCTTATTAAAATTATCATGATTATATATATATATATATGATAATGATGTTTACATAAAATGATATCCTAATTTATACTAAATATATCTCCATGGTCTTGTCAAATTCTAGTTCTAAGTTCTGATTTCATCTTTTTAAAAAAATTAAAATATTGAAAATAATAAAATATTTAATATTTTTAATATATTTAAAATTAAAATTAAATAAAAATATTTTATGAATATTTTAATATCTCGAATATAAACTTAAATTTTCTTTTTTAAAACCCGGCTTTAATCCAATCGAAACTATTGAACCAGACGAATAATCAAACTCTGGGACAAGTATAATTAATTTATATTAATTAATATAAAGAAAACTAGTATATTTATCATTATTAGTTTAGTGTACGATCGAGTATAAATATGTCTTATTTATTAAATAGATATGATTAAGAGTATTCATAAGCATGAGCATTGATTCCTTTGTTTTTGGTATATATGAGCTATAATTAATTCCTGTAAAAAACAGTATTCGTCAATAATGATAAATAGCCCTAGTTAGGGGCTTCTCTACATCTGTTACAAGTTTTATATGTTCAACTGAGTCGGGAATTTTTAATTTTACAAAGAGAAATTTGATTTTTTATTCATATAAAAATTGAATGAATATTATGTTATGAGTATAAAAATAAAAATAAATATCATCTTAAATTTTTATTGATTAAAAGAATCGAAATAGAGATGAAAACAAATAATATAACAACCGTTCCATACTCATACTTTACATATATATATATTTATATATATTTAGTAAATAGATTTTTTATTAAATAATATAAAATATTATTTTGCATTAATTAAAATTAATATATTTTTATTAAAAAATATATATTAATAAATATTTATAAAAAATTATTTAAATTTACAAAATAAAACAAAAAATCTAAAAAAAATAAATTTTTGTTTTTTTTTTTAAATGTGGGTATAAAGATTAATCATACCTATTAAATACTTATGGAGATAAAAATATGGATAAATTTAAAATATTTATTATATATGGGTATAAAAATGGATATAATATAAAAATATAAAGATGAGGATGGAGAATGCTCTACCCTCATCATACCTTATTCATTGACATCCTTAAGTTGAATCGCATAAAGATAATTGGGAGTTAGGATTGTTAGTGCTAAACTTTTTATGTGAGAACAAAATTTAAAAATATTATTGTAATGGTTTTGAAATCGTTAGACAAAAATTTGAAAATAAAAAAGTTATTAGTAATATTTTTAGCTAAATGTGATTGGTCATGTATTAAAATTTATTTTTTATTAAAATCTTAAAATCAATTAAAATTTATTAAAAAAATCATTTTTAGATTTAAAAAATAATTTTGGATTTGAGAATAAGGTTATGCATGAAAAGTAATTTGTACCTTCAAAATACATATTTTAAAAATAGTATCAATTAATCATGTGTTATTCTTTAATATTAACAAATTTTGTTTTAATTTTGATATTTAAAATTAATTTCCTTACTTTCCTTTTTTTTCATAATTTTAGCCTTTTTTGTTTTTATTCATTTTTTATAATTTCACCTTTTTCATAAAAATTTCTCTCTTTTTATTATTTTTATTTATTTTTTAAAATTATTATTCCATTTTTATTTAAAATAAAACAGAACTTTATTATTGAAAAACTCTTAAAATATTTCAATATATTGGTAACATTGAAATAATTTTTCTCACCTTAAGATATATTAAAAATCATTACTTAAATTTTCTCAAAATTTTATCTTCTGATGTTTTATTTTTCAAAAATTAATTTATGCAAATAATATTCAAGCATTATTATAACTTTATTCCTTTAAAAAATCATTTTTTCATTTTTTATTATTTTTTAATTTTTATTAAAGAATAAGTAAATGAAAATCTTTTTGTATTGAATTTTTAAAAAATATTTCGGCATTTTGATAGTATTTTTTTTTAAAAAAAAATTCTCACTTAAAAATTTGTAAAAAATCCCAAAACGAATTGTTTTAATATTTTATCTTCAAAAAATTATTCATTTTTTTAAAAAAATTATCTTTTCTTTTCAAAAAAATCAACACCTCTTTTTTATATAACGAATTTCCATTTTTTAAAAATTTTAAAAACTAATTATGCAAATATAAGTAAATAAATAACTTAACAAAAAATAAAAAATAAAAAAATTAGCCAAAAGGATCGATCAAAGGTGGTCAATAGTTCAGGAGCGGTTCACTGGTCTGGTTCAGCGGTCAACAGGTTTGGAGTTATTTCCTAGCGATTCGGGCAATTAGTTGCACCGATTCAAGACGGTTTTCAAGTGGCTCAAGCGATTCGGCCACCGGTTGATGCACACCGGTTCAAGGCTAGCCCTAAGCAGTCGAGCCAAGTTGGGTCGGGTCCACAAAAGGGTCAAGTAATTCTTTTTCAGGTTATAAAAGCCAAAAATAATTTTTCTTTCCTCTCTCTCTACACTCCCTCTCTCTCTAATCGGTCACCGGTGCCGGTTTAAACCTTAATTTTGTCATAATGTTCCCCTTAACCTTCTCATCTCACTAACGCCCAATCTTTCAATAACACCCCCTTAAAACCTAGATCTGTTTTGAAAGTTTTGGCCAAAATCCCTAAAATCCGCTCTTTCTGCAGTTCAAAATGCTTCCTCTTTTGAGTATATTTCTCACCCAGCTCTAGCCTCTCTCCCTTCCAAAAATCAAGGCTCCAAACCTCCCCAAATCAAAATTTTCCCCTTTTTTGTTTTTTTTTTTTAGCTTTTTTTTTAGCTTTGTGCTGCTGCAGTTCCCAATCAGGACATGGTTTTTTGTGTATTTTTTTGCTTTGTTTTTTGACAAGTTTGGATAGTGTATTGGGTTTTGGTGTTCGGTTGTTGGGAAGTGGCAGTTTAGGTTATGGGTAATGGGTTCTGCTGTGTGTTGATGGTGGTGATATGGGGATGGATTTTTGGTGGTTTGATGGGGTGTGGCAATGGGTTTTTCTTGGCAGACTGTCTCTCGGCAATGTCGCAAAGGCTGGAGAAAAGGCACTAGTGAAGGCACCAGAGCATTTAGGCAGGGTTCTTTTGCTATAAAAATGGTATCCCCTGTCGCTTGATTTTGACTCTCTTTAAAGAGCAATGCAATCCCGGGTTTTTTGGGATTTGGTTGCTACTAGTAAGGTGAGGGAAGGGAAAAGATGGGGAAGGGGAGAATAGGCGGATGGTGGCAGCTAGGTATAGTGGTTGGAAAATGATGGGAGCTAGTGGCATGCAAGGCACCATGCTCCAATTTCTGTCCCTTTCTTTTGGAAAAAAAAGAAAGTAACTAACAATTAACAAATTTGGATTTAAAAAAGCTTTGGGTTAGAACAATATGATCATAACAAGACTGAGCCCAATAAGACTCAATTAAAATTTAAATGGGCCTCAATTTTTCAAGTTAAAATCTTGAACAAAAATTAAGATTTATCCATACAAAAATTAGTATCTACAAACACTAAAGAAATTGATTAATAAAAAGGCTGAAATTTTTTTCAACATTTGTATTCCGACTCTCAAATTAATTTTTGATAAGAGAGTGAGAAGAAGAAAATATAAAAAAAGTAGATATGAAAAGTTCTAATCGTTTGCTAATACCTAAAATGGATTATTTATACTCGTATGGTGAGAGCATTGAGCCTAGGTGGCTCGAGCTCCAAGTAACAGAGTTAAGGTTACCGTTGTTTGCCCAAACAGAGCTGATAATCAACAGCCCAATTTGGGGGTAACAAATCAACATTTTTATATGCCACAAAATGATCAACTAAGGTGATCGAATTAATGTGAAGCTCAAGAATTCATATTGGCTTGACACAATGGCTCAATCAAATTGACCAAATTATCCTCGTTTGACAAGTGACTCACAGTATATTTTGCCTTTTGAATCATAAAAAAACCTATTAAAACCATTGTATTCATGTTCCTACATTTATAAGATTCTCAAATTTTGGATTAGGATCATTAATTAATATAATTGATTCATTACTACATGATATTTATTTTATTTTATTTCTTAGATTTAGTACTTCTTTGGATAATATAAATAAATGAAGCAAGATGGGAACGGTTTCTAAACTGAAAGAAAATAATTTTGTGTATTTTCATCTTTCATATTTACTATTATTAGTAAAAGGCAGATTCTCATAATAACACTATTATTAGTAATAAGGCAGATTTTCGTAATAACAAAAAAAGGGGCATTACATGCAGAACTAGAAAATGACCATATCGATAAATAGGAATGCATAAGATTTTTTCTTATGTAAATTCTTGGGAAAATTAATGGCCACTCAAACTATCTTTCACTGTCACCGGCAGCCCATTGCCCCATTCCAAAGCGTTAAATTGGATCTAAGACCCATCTAATCACACCCTCGAAGGACCCCTATAATCCCTTTCAGAGCTGACCAGCCGGGTTTTCTTTTGTGGGTGGCTGCATCCTGCAGCAGGTAGCTGCTAGCCAGCACTCACTAATCTCTATGGACCACTAAGCTCTGGGCTTTAATAACAACGGATTGGTAGAAGAACTCATCGGCTGGGCTTGGCCTCACCATACTAGGCCTTTGTGGCATTTTTTTCCCTATTTTCCGTCGTCTTGAATACTTCCTTGCAATTGAGATTGTCCAAAATTCATAGATTAATTTGAATTGCATTTTTAAGGAATTGTCACGTGATTGTAGAGTATTAATTTTTTTTTATATATAAAAGAGATGGAGAATAATAATAAAAAAAAGAATAGCAAGTGTTGGGGATTAAATATAACCTTGCATCAATTCATTTTTTAAAAAATATGACTAAATTATTTGAATTAAATCTCAAATTTAATATTTATATTGGTTCAATCTCTAACCGGAGCTCAAGAAACCAAATAACTCAAAAAGCAATGATCTTTCATAACAGATACTACTAGAATTTTCAAAGGGTAATGATAATTCATAATAATTATTAAGAAAAAGAACACAAAATACAATTACGTTGGATGCCGGAGGGCCTAGAATAACTACCGCTGGTAAGCAAGCTTAACGTCCAACTTAATTTAAAGAAACCATGAAAAAATCTTCACTTGGACTGTAAGTAGAGGTACTTATTTTCACGACAGAGATACGCTTTTATTTGATTACATTTTAGAATAGCGAGAAAAAAGATCTTAATTATTTGCCATGATCAATTAAGCACTTGGAGGATCTGGCACATAGGCAGAGTCAACGTACTTCCACTTACCATCGTCCATCTAAGCCATGGTATTGGACGTTTCTTGTTGAATAGTCATTCAAATTTGAGTTTACGTTTTGGGTTTAATGTCTTAATTTTTAGGATATAATTGGTAATAAATATTAGTTTTTAAGATTAGTTGATAGTAATTGTTAAACTTGATTGAGTGGTTTTTAATATTCAATCACTTTCTCTATTTTTTCATTATTTGTTAATTATTTGAGTTTTTTTTTTTTCTGTTAGTTATATTATAAACCTATTAAAAGACTTATTAAGTTTAATAAAAATATAGAGAATTTATTTACAATTATCCAAAATTAATTATTTTTTATGAGTCGATCATTTAATTTTAAAAATTTTACTTCTTTTTCCAACAAATATTTTGGTCTTATAGGCTTCAAGTGTGGTTTATCTCTCCAACAAGTAGTATCAGATCAAAAAGTTACAGGTTTGAGTCTCAATGGTATTATTGGAAGGAGATTGTTGACAGATCGGAGTTTGATCACGTCTATCAACTCCATATGCTCGAACGTCAATATTAAAAAGTTCGAATTGGATACAATGAGTATATGATAATATATAGAAGCAGAACATCTGAGTGAGAGATGTGTTGAGTTAACTTGGAGTGTAAACTTGAGGTAGCACTAAGCCAACCTAAGTGATAAGGTTGAGTGTTGTGGTCTAGCCCAAAAACGCATTAAATATGTAAGGTTACCCGATCCAAAAAAAAATATTGATAGAATTTATTCGCAAAGAAGAGTCGAGATGAGACTTGATTAGAACTCACAAGTAACAAAAAATATTATTGGGATATGATTCACATGTGAGTAAAAAATTTCACATTATTAAAAAATTTGAATAAAATATCTTATGTATATATAAAAAATCTAAAAATTTAATAGCTTAAATTTTTGAACTCAAAAATTATCTTACATATAAATATGAAATCTCTAATGTGCTCTCGTGAGCTCCAAGCTATCTCTCTAGCATCTCCTTCGTCTACCAGTTATCCGGTATTTTGCATACGTCAAATAAACCATCGGTATATATATTTGTTTATGACTAGATTATCAAAATCAAGTTCCTCTTTCAGTTTAAATTCTCCATTTTTTTTTACCCCTGCAACCCCATGCTCATAACCCTCCAAATTGTGAGGACTCATTCGATTTCAAGTACTTGGCTGTATCAAACCCTAACTCTTCTCCCACATGGCATATGGATGTAGATGCCAAGTAAAAATGGAACCTTAGGAACGGGATCCGTGGAATTCACGATGCGCAGGAGATGAAGATCCTTAAGTCCATAAAAAAATTCCTTTGAAGAATAGATTCCCAAAGCGAGGGCTGGCAACTGGAAAAGCTGTGACCGCGAACGCCTTATTTGGGTTGTCTGTGGGCTTGTTGAAACCATTGTCAGCTATGACGTAGCGTTTAGGGTTGCAATTGCAGCGCCCAGACTATGGCCTGTTCCAGTTATGCTTACATCCTCGTTCTGCTACTTGTCCACCAGTTCCTGGACCGCTTTTCAAACCTTACGGGCATCGTTAACAAATGAGCTGTTAACTTGGGTCACCATTGGATCTCAATTTTTATATGATACAAGGTAAAAAATGGAGATCAACTTGAAACTAAGAGAGGAATTTGGTGTTGAAAAACAATTATGGGCAACCAACAAACTAGGAAAAGTAGCAGACCACTGGAAATAAATTTACATCACCAAAATGGCAAGGACCCAATACAAAGATATTTTTATTACATTCATAAATATAGGCAAATTCCCTTTTTCTTTTGCCTAGTTGGATTACAATAGGCATGGTTTTTTTATACATATAACCATTCTTTTGCTAGAATACATAAATAAGATACCATAAACCCCATGACATAGCAAGAGTCAGAGCTAATAGAACTCTGACCTGCGAAAGTTCCCTGTAAAAGGGTAGCATGAGCTTTCGGGCAAAGCCCCTGGCTCAATAAGGGTCTTTATTTCAATCAGAAGAGACAAACCCTTTAACTTATTAAATTCATTTCTTTAATAAAATTATATTAAGTGCAGTCACCAAGTGCTGCATGCTGCTATCAAGCATTTGGAGGTTCTGGCACATAAGCAGAGTCAACAAACTTCCAGTGACCATTGTCCATCTGAACCATGCCCTTGAACTTCTCATTGTTCCACCATTCAATTGGTATTTTGGATTCGTCCAGTAAACAATCACCATGTTTGTTTACTACTGCATTGTCAAAATCAAGTTCCTCTTCCAACTTGAATTCTCCATTTTCTTGTACCCCTGCAACTCCATGCGCGTAGACATCCAAATTGTGAGGATTAGCATTCGATTTCAAATATGTTGATTTCGTCGTGTCAATTTCAAGCTTTTCTCCCACATGGACGTAGAAGCCATGTAACCAGGGAACCTTAGGAATGGGATCCGTGGTATTTACAATGCGTAGAAGACGAAGATGCTTAAGTTCATCAAAATCAAATACTCCCCTGAAGAATTCATTTCCAACGCGAGGGCTGGCAGCTGTAAAAGCGGTGACCATGAACGCCTTATCCGAGTCTGTTGGCGTATTAAAACCATTGAAAACTATGTCCATAGCATTCAGGGTTGCAAGTGCGGCGCCCAAGCTATGGCCTACAACAGTTATGCTTACATCCTCATTCTGGTACTTGTCAACCTGTTCCTTGACCGCACTTCGAACCTGGGAGGCATCAATAAATTTTGAATTCGGTCATTAGAAATGATTTTTTTTTCCTTTTTTAACATGATATATACAAGCTGAATATGATGATCAACTAGAAAGTTGGTGATAGAAAATTTAACAAGTTGGTTGGATTGATTATATTGATTCGTACTTCATATCAATCAACTATATTCGCATCTAAAAGTGTAACTAAGAGTTTATATTTTATATATTGTCAATGTATAAATTCTATATATTATTAATCAATTAAATAATATTAGTTCATTAATGAACAAATATCAATATTTAAAATAAATATATAAAAATTAATATTTTTTAAAAAATTTACTCATTAATAAAGTAACATCATCTGATTTCTTTCATTAATAAGATGATATTATCTTATTCATTGATAGTGTATAAAATTTATACCCTACAATGCATCACGTATAAATCCTGCAACTAATGGGGCAATTTCTGAATGATAAGGTCATAATGCTCATATATATAGTCAGGGCGTGCTGTGAATGATCCCTGGTGCTATTACATTCAGGGGAGCGACAAGTAGAAAAATCAAGATTTACCTGTTCCTTTGCGCTGGTCGTACTGTAAGGGGAATCTACCGTCCCTGTATAAATGGAGAGAAAGCCGGAGTGCACCTGAGCCAAGTCAGTTTTGAATAATTCTTTAGCTGATGTCGGGAAGAATTTTGCATCATCGGCCCAGTCCACGTTTGTTATGGTTCCTCTCCATGAAACCAGAATATCCCTCCTTCCTAGAGCAGCCTTTCCGTCATCTGTGGCTACCGCCACATAACCAAACCATTCGGACTCATTAGTACTAGTGGCGGCATATATAAAGTTGGTCACTTGATACCTGTATGGGTTTGCAATTCCAAGACCGTCCCTAGCAAAAAACTCATCTGGTGGATATAGGCTAAGTCCGTAACCCTTAGATGCCTTGTTCCCGTTGAAGGGGTCCCCAGCAGCTCCAGCCCTTTGAAGATAGTGAATAATATAGCGGCGAAGATCAAGGTCAAGAGGATGCAATAGATCCTTCCAGCATTTCTCGCCACTGAGTTCTCTCCAAGAAGATGCTATGGAGCTAGCCATCACTCTTATCTAATTAACTCTAATTATCTATTCTTCTTTTCAAGCTTTCTTGTGAAGATGGGATTCATAGCTTTGATTTGCATGCTTTATATAAGGCGCTCTCGAGCTATGAGGGAGGGAAGAAGACAAAATCCATGTGGATAATCAAACAACAAATTAAACTATATAGAATGATTGCACAAAAAAAAAAAGCCACATTTTTATCATGGGAAACTTTCCCTTTAGACAAAACCACTTAAGTTTTTACTTCGGGTTGAAGCTTCCCGCTGAGAAAAGACTTACTTTTTGGCCATATTATTGTTGTAATTTTATGTAGAGTCTACCAATTATAAGTTTCTTATTCTATATAAGTTAATCGCGGCATGATTTGTTGTTATATCTATTGAAGTATGATTTGTTTGTAAAACATTAAATTTTTAATTTTATTTTTAATTTTAGTAATTAAAATTTAAATTTTATAATAGTCTCAAATATAAAAAAAATTCATATATATATATATATATATATATATGATCATTCTTTGCATCTAGTTTACTAAGAAATTAAAAAAAACAACTCACAAAAAAGGAAGAATGCTTTAATGCCATTTTATATTTTTATAGAAAATTTAAAATATTGTTTAATGTATGATTATAACAATATCGTTTGCTATGTAAATTAAAAGTTAAAAACGTAAAAAAAGTTTTAAAAATTAAGAGATTTTAAGAAGTCTGAAAATTGAAAGTACAACTTAAACTAATTCAATTTAGGAGTAACTGTTCAATATTTTTATATGTTATTTTTTGCAGTTAGCGTATTGCCAAAGATATCTAAAGGATAAGCACAAAACTAGACGCACATGGGTCGGCATGCACAATGAATAATTTTTTTATAGTGCATATTATTTGGAATAAATTAAGTGGACAGTACTAAAACGCAATCATTGCTTATAAAGTTTAATTATAAAGCTTATAATGTCCATATCACATCGCACGTGGCATGAAAATGACTGAATACAGATGAAAAAGCACTAACCGGAAGATAATATCAACGTGTTTTCCAAGTTCCATGCTCGCTTGAATTACTCTGATTAATTTTACTAATATCAATTTTTAAGTAAGCAGAAACAACTTAATCGATCAAGATAGGGCGATCGTGAAAGTATTATAATGTAGTTTAAAATTTAAATCTCAACAATAATAATATTTTTATTTTTAAATTATGATTTAACAAAAAAGTTATGGCAAATGGTTCGACTTTGAAGATCAACACCATAATAGCACCTTTCATAGAAGACAAACTAGGGAGTCGGCGAAAGATTAACATCAAGAACTCGTGTCCTGTAAGTCTATAGCTGTTGAATATGACAACTTTTTTTAGAAAAACATGTTTAATTACCTTTTTGTATCAATGAAATTTTAAAATTAAATATTATACGATTTTATAGATAAAATCATATCTACAAATTCATAAGATGAATTAATAACTTAAACAAAAACAATATATTTATAAAAGATCAAAGGAAAATAGAAAGTAATTCAATGAATCAAGATGGATTCAAATATAGAGATCCGTAAAAAATATAGATCTTATTATTGAAATGGGTCTCGATGACATTTGGTTTACTCTTAATTTGGTCAACAAGAGGTTTTTTTTTTTTTTTGCAAAGACAAACATATCATTTGTTAAAATAACAAAAATTTTAAGAATTATGAAATTTATGTAATTCATATTCCTTGATTTTTTTTTTTTTGAAAGGATTAATATTCGCATACCTAAACACAAAACAAGATGGACTTTAAGCCTCTGTCCGCAAGAGGCTATTTGAAATGTGGTTTTCAGTTATTGGGTTTTGTTTGTATATTGAGCATTCATTATTGTGGCCTTATTCTTATTATTTTTATGAGATGTTGGGTTTTTGTTTTTGTTCTTTTGTTTTTTTCTTATGAGGCAATGAAGGCCGACCCATCTGCAATCTAACAAAGAAGAGATAAGATGAGTTCGTTGGGAGAGAGTCGGGTAGTTGTCAATGACTTTTGAGATATGATCCTTCTACCTGAAGTCTCGTTGTTCTTTTAGTTCTTCTATTCCATGGCTTGAAAGTTCCTCTAAACCAATTTCATCGAGACAGAATTTCAACGCACACCAACACGGTTTGCACGCTTCGTGAGAAGACACCAAGCTTGAGCTTAAAAACAAAATTGTCCTGCGTAATATCCGTGACGCATCTCGCCTCACTCTCACTTTACTCCATGCCAACTGCAGCCGGTTTGAACACTATACGGACAAACGCATGCCTTTACTAAGAACCAGATAATACAGATGTGCAGCAATTAAAGTGTATTTATCTTATTTGGTAAATTAAAATTTTTAATTGCCAAAATTCCTCAAATTTAAATAAAAATTTTTATCGCTCAATTTTTTTTTTTTAATTTCACCTATAGAAGTGGCATTTGTGAGATTTTTAATTTATGATAAGAAGTCAATATTTAGTATATTTTCTTTTTACGCTACTTTTGTTGTTTTTTTTTTATTTTAATTACAAAAACTCATTATAATTTTTTTTAATTTTTCATTTTGTTAGTAATATCTACATATTTTTACAAATTCAATGACAATTATATTACATATATTTTTTAGTATTTTGCCATTACTTATCTATTATAATTTTTTTATCTTATCAAATTTCAATATTTAAAATTTATTTCTAAAAAATAATTATCCAAATAAAGCAATTACAAATTCTATTGTTTTAAATTAATGTATTTCAAAATTTTCCCTTCAAACCCCTAAAGGAATTTTTTTTTATAAGAAAACGTATTCTTATGAAGCAAGGTGTTTGGTTCAATTAATTTCAAATCCAAACATCTAAAATCAAATTAATCAAATTATTTTATTTTATTTTTAGTAATAGAATCAAATTTAATAATTTAAAAAGTTTAATCAATCAAATTTAATTTGATTAATTCAATTAATTTTTAAATTTAGTCGAATTATAATTCATAACATGCATTCAAGTTAAATGATTTTGTCTTAATTAATCTCCTAATTGTTCACCAAAAGGCTTAGAACCAAATATAAAGATTCTAAATATATATACCAATAGGTCACATAGAAAAAGTAAAAAACAAAATCAGCTACTCATTCAGTATTTTTACCTAAAATTAAACCCCAATAGGCCATGACATAGCGCAGCAATCAGAGATAACACCAAAGCGAAGCATGAACTCAGTGGCCGAACCTTGTTTCTATAGATAGAAACAATTAAACTTTTTTTTAACGAAGCGAGGACCTGACTTATATGTGATCAAGCACTTTGAGAGCATCTTGTATACCGATCCGTTATGGATGATATTAAGCATTCTCAACAAACTTCCAGTGGCCATTGTCAATCTGAACCATATTTTTGCGATTCTCATTATTCCACCATTTGGGAGGAATTTTGTAATCTACTTTCAGCCAATCTAAATGTTTGTTTACCAGTGCAATATCACGGTCAATTTCCAGACGAAATCCATTTTCTTGGACGCCTGCAATTCCATGCAGGTAAACTTCCAAAGCATGAGCAATGAAAAGTTCACCCAGGTACCCCACTAGGCCACCCGTGAATCCTAGCGTGGTGGCGTCAATTTCCAACTCTTCTCTGATGTTGCTTTTATGCTTGTAGCCTTTAGTGGCGGCGTACATTTCCAACTCTTCTTCCACCTGCATGTTTCCATCTAAATATTCTGCTGGCAAATGCCCAGGAGGAGGGATGTATATGGAATCTGTGTTGTCTTGAAGATTAGTTGTACTGATCACAAAAAGTTTCCGCTTCAAGTAGTCTGACTTACTGGTGTTTATTTGTAACTCTTTCCCCAAATGGGTGTAGCCCGATAGAAATTTTGAGGGCAGATGATGAACAGGATCCCAGAAATTTGTGATGCGTAGAAGACGAAGATGATCATTGAGTGTCTTAAATACTTCCTCCAAGCCACTGTTCCCAACACGTGGACCGGCATATGCAAAAGCTGTGACCATGCACGACTTCTTTGAATCGCCTGTGGGCTTGTTATAACCATTGGCAACTATGTCCATTGCGTTTAGCGTTGCTAGTGCTGCTCCTAAGCTATAGCCTGTTACAGTTATGCTTATCTCTTCATCTTGGTATTTGTTCACCAGCTCCCTAACCGCTTTTAGAACCTACATGACATTATTCTTATCACCATCTTAATCTTATATGATAGAATAAGTTGAAAATGGAGATCACTCATAAGTAGTCGTACCTAAAAGAGTTTGACCAAAAAAAAAGTATTTATGACACGAAGAAAATATTGTTCTATATATGTTTCATTTGTAGAAAATGCATAGTCTTATATATGTTGCACGTATATGGTCAAAGGAATTGTTCTCAGCATTAAAATTGCCTTTAATCCAAATTAAGAAAGGTTTTATAGTACAAAATATTATTCTCCTATTATGTTTAGACCAAACAAATGAACCAAAATTTACTTAAAACACATACTCTTTAGCAAGATTTTGTTGGAAGGAAGGCCCTAAGAGACATTTTCACAAACAATTGGCTTGCAAACTCCATAAAGCTTCTTATAATAAACCAAGCTTCAATGAACCACCAAAATCACAACTTTGCACTACAAACATACAGAAACATCCAGCACAAGTTTCACACAATAATCTATCTCCAATCAACCAAGCTAAAAGTTTAAATAACCACATAACCAACTATCAAGCATAACAAACTTCTAAATTTATAAACAACAAACAAAATAACATGTTCTTTACTTCAAAATGCCCCAAAGATATTCATTTACTAGAGTAAGAAAATAATTTACACAAAAGTTTGCATTTTTCTCATAAAGACAAGATCTCATTTTCTTCCTTGTATTTCCACCTTTACCACATTCTCCTCTCTATTCTCTACACTGTTCCTATATTCATTCTATCATTTATTTCATTTAAATTATAACGAGGCTAACTATATAACACAAAAAGAGTCCAACTCAAAGTATAAAGTAAATGGGTTACTACAAAAATAAAAGACAAGTGACTAATCCAATGTAAATGGGTTTACAATCCAACAGATTTAAGGGAATTAAAGTTGCAATTAGAAAATTTTAACTGTTGTATATAAATAGTTTTGGAAGCTACAAAGTACAATATCAAGAATTACCTGCTCTCTGGCACTAGTCTTGTTGTAAGCGGATTTCCAGCTTGTCCCAGTATAAAGAGAGAGGAAGCCAGAGTGCACTTTAGCGTTGTTTCCAGCCCCAAATAATTCTGAAGCGGACGTTTGGAAAAAGTTTACATTATTAAACCATTCCGAGTCTGTTATAGTTCCTCTCCAAGCAACCAAAATCTCTCTCCTTCCTAGAGCAACCTTTCCTTCGTCTGTGGTCACTGCCACATATCCAAACCATGCGGACTCGACATCATCTGAGGCCGCATAAAAGAAGTCGGTCACGTAGTACTTGAATATATTTCCTTTTTCAAGACAAGCCCTGGAAAAAACCTCTTCTTTTGGGTATAGGCTATGTCGGAATCCGCTAGATTCCTTTTCACTATTGAAAAGGTCTCCAACAGCTCCAATCCTTTCACCATAGTGGATAATATAGCGACGGAGATCAATATCGATAGGCTGCAATAGACCCTGCCAGTAGTTCTCACCACTGAGTTCTCTCCATCGGGATGCTATGGAATTAGCCATCACTCTTTTTTAGCTCTGCTTTCTTTTCTTCTCTTTTTTCTTTTTTTTTTCCGGGGTTTGTGCGGATGCGATTCCTAGCTACATTAAGGTGCTTTAGAGAGATCTCTCCCCACCGAAAACTAGATACATAGAACAATGGTCATTTCTTTTTTTTTTTTTTTGACAGGAGGAATATATTGGGGAACGTGGTGCATGTTAGGGGGGTTGCACTAGGCCGTGTTCTCGTTTGGCGATAAATAGAATGATAAGATGGTTTGATACAGAAAGTGCCATGCAACTATGGAAGTTTCTAATATGCGTGCAGGGAGTGGGGTACATCTCAAGGGAACTTCTCCTTATTTGGCCTTTTAGATATACTCGTGAAGAAGATTCGTCAATTTCGGCTTTGTTTTCTTTTTATTTAAATGGTAATAACGGTCTAGGAAGTGGTCTAGCCGCCTAGGCAGGCGACACACAACCATTCAACTTGCATGACTTCCACTAGAAAGACATAACTTTATATTCTAACTTCTAATTTATACTTGTATCCATTTCAATTTTTTACTAAACATTCATGTACTTAAAAGTTGATAGGTTTCTAGGTTTTAGATAATTTGAACATTATTTGCATGCGATAAATATGAAGGGCTGATAAATAAATAAATTTTATTTTAACCGTACAATATAATTAAAAATTTAGACAAAAAAATAATGTTCCAAGTTTAAGAATACTACCCGTGCAAGATACAGGATTGATGCTTGGATATATGTAAAGAAAGATTAAATTTAAAACATGTAGGGTACTAGTGCGAGAGACACGCTTGATGCTTGGATAGAGGTAAACAAAACTTAAATTTACAAAACATGTTTGGTTGATTTAGGATGTGTTTGGTAAATAATATTATGATAGGATATAATAAAATGATTTTATGAATAGAATTATATTAAAAATATAATTTTATCTTATATTTGATATATGTAATTATTAGGATAAGATAATTTATTTATTAATTAAAATTATATTTTCTCAAAGTTTAGATAATTTAAATGATTAATAAAATTTTTAAGGATATAATAAAATATTTAAGTTCAATATCATGAATTAAAAATAATCTTTTTTACATTAAAAAGATTAAATCATCTTATACCAAGAGAATAATTAATCATTTTTATAATTTTATTCTTTTTTTAAAATACAAATCAAACATAATAAAAAATGATTATTATCTTATCCTATCTATCATCCTATACAATAAATATGACTTTAAATGTTTATAGTTAGGTTTTAATCAAATTAGTAGATTGAATTAATTTTATTTGGTTAATCGATTACTTATTGAATTAATATCGATTGAAGCTATTGAAAATGACTTTAAAAATTTTATATTTTTAATTAACTTTATTTTTTAATTGAATTAATCTAAATTTTAACTCGAATATAAAAAACTCATACATAAAATTAAAAATATATGAAACAAACCATTTTATATTATAAGTTTTTAAAATTTTTAAGTTGATAATTTAGTATTTGAATGTTTTGTCTAATAATTTTATTTAGTTTGTTTTAAATGTGAGAAATTAGAATTTAAAATATAATTTAATTTAAATATATTTTATTATTTGATTAATTAAAAAAGTAATTGAACTAAATTCGATTGGTTTGATTTTTAAAATTAATAAATTCAGTTCTTTAATAAAAATAAAATAAAATAATTTAGTTTTAAATATTTTAATTAATAAAATTAATCAAATTAACTGAATAAATTAACATAAATTCATTGAATGGATAACAATTTGAGACTTACAAGGTAAAGAAAAACTTTGAAAACTCGTTTCCATGGATCGGGCTAAGTTAAGCTTAATTGGGTTAAATACTCAATTTTGTCCTCAAATGTTTGATCGATTGCTCAAATCAAAACCTAACCTTTTAATTTTAACAAATAAAGTTTAACAATTAAAATTTTCAATGGATGAAATTTGACGAGTATATAATAAGTGCCATTAATTTTGTCAAATGACTAATATTTTTGCCAAATAAGCTGACAAGTAAGATGTCTACATGTAAAAAAAAATTAAAAAAACTATAAAAAAAGTTTTTAAAAAATAAAAATTTTTTCTCAGTTTCCTAACAACCAAACATTCTTCCTAGAATACAGTCTTCCCCCTCACATTTCTATATTCTTCTCAAAAATGTGAAAATACCAAAGAAAATTTTCAAGCAATTAATACTTAAAATCTCATCAAAAAGGGATAAAGTATTAAATTTAACTAAAAATAAGAAATACCCTTTAATCAAACAACATAAAAATCACAAAAGAAAAAAAAGTTTTAAGCTTTCTTATAAATCTTCAAAGTTAATATCTTTAAAACACTTAAACTAAACTAAAATAAATAAAAATTATCAAATTGATAAAAATAAAGAAAACCCGTAAATTGAAAACTGAAAACAAAAAACCCAAAAGGAAATTTGCAAAAATAAGGTCAGAATACTTGGATTAGGAAAAAAAAAAAACCCTAGTTGAAAATCCAAATAACAAAAAAAATACAATCAAGAAACTTTTAAGAAGTGAGCCACATAAAACACAAAAATGAAAGATTCAAGCGAGAAAACATCACAGAATCAAGAGAGAAACCAAGTTTTTCACGGATAACCCAATTGATTTGACGTTTGCAAAGAAACGAAGCAAAGAAAATTTTTGAAATTTATTTGTTTAAGTGGGTAAAATTGTTAAGGGCAAGAAGGTTTATTTTGGGAAAAAATTGAGAACAAAAAGAAAAAGGAAGTTAACAGGTATACGGGAAGCAATTGTAGTTTGAATTACAAAAGTCAAAAAAGGAGAGTGGGGACGAGACTCTAGATTTTAGGTCGAGGGTAAGATGTAATTTTCAGGTTTTTTTTTTTAATTTTCTGAAAGGTACTTTTCCCGAAATGAATAAATTTATTTTTCACATCATCTGAAACTACACCTTAGCCAAAAAATCCATTCTTCACGTAATACTATGGTGCGTGTAAAACACGTGCTGGCTTTTAACCATCTGAGCCCTTAATTGTTACATCCCGAATGCATCAAATCCTTATTTGCTAAAATTAAAAAATTAAATCCTGATTTAAACAATTCCTCAAATGTTGGGGATCCAATTGAATATTTAACCGCCTAATTGACACTTTCAAAGCTTTGTTTAAGTCCTGACTTGTTTATTTGGATCTAGATTATATTGTTTACTAAATATTGAAATATTATAAATGATTATATGGATACTTTTATATTTTTTAAATATATTTTAAAATTAAATTTAAGAAAAAATTTTATTAACAAATATATAATAATTCAAATCGAAAGAGGTTTGGGCCTTAAAATCCCTGTCACAGTTTTGCCCGAATGAAAGTGGCCCGCGAACCTGGCAAGCAGCCTCACCTGTGGACAGATCACTTCTAGTCAATCCACCGCCAGATTTGGCAATTCAACAACTACTCACTGAAAATACCAATAAACTTCCTAGGTCCTAGTGCACAGATTATTAACCAATGCTGTAAAAATTTTTTTGTTAATTTTTAATAGTAAGGACTCTTATACATCTAGAAGTACGATACCTTAAAAACTGTTATCAAACCAATTTGGCGCGGCATTCAAGTATCATCATCATCTAGACCTTCATGATCCATCAGTTTCCAAGAACCATCTTCCTGCTGGACCATACCCTTGTTCTTCTGAACCCTCCATGACACTGGGACAAAATAGTCGTCCTTTAATCCATCAATTGATTTGTTTACAAGGGCTATATCACGATTAACCACCAAGTTAAACCCTCCTTTACTCCCTTGTACTCCAGCCATCCCATGTAAATAACCTTCCAAATTATGCCAACTTGACAAGTTTCCTGGACTCTTCAAGTACCTTGATTTACGGGTGTCAATAGCCAATTCTTCTCCCACATCCGAATAACCTATCAAAGGATAGTTGGGGACAACATCTAACGCATTTCGGACGCGTATGGCTCGAAGGTCTTTGAATCCTGTAAACACCTTTTTGAAATCTGAGTCACCAACTCGAGGACTAGCAAATAAAAAGGCTGTAACGGGAGCGGCCTTCCGTGAGTGGTTTTCGGGCTTGTTATATCCATTGGCAACTATGTCGATGGCATTCAGAGTTGCAAGTGCTGCACCTAAGCTGTGGCCGGTCACTGTGATGCTTATTTCCTCGTTCTTGAATTGGTCCACTAGTCTCCTAACCTCCTTAAGAACCTAAAACAATCAATAGCAAGAACAAAGACAATTTTTACTTTCTATAGAACATACATACAACCAAGGACATTTTTATGGTGAGCTTCTGTGTCTAAGCTACACGACTATGCTGTCTTGAATTGACAAAAAGGGGAGGATATTTATAAGTACTTTGAGAAAAATATAATTGATGGAAAATGGGTTCAATATCAGGAATATTTTTCAGTCATTAGGAAATTGGAGTTATTCATCGTGTAATATTAAAAGAGAAAGGCCAGGAGCAGTCACAATAATAGCTGACTTTAGACACTTGAGCTCTTGTTGAAGAGCCACGTCATGTAATGGCTTTTTAAACTCTAAACAGGCAACTCATAATAACAAGCTTTTATTTCTCCAAGTTTTCTTTTTATCTTTTATTCTTTTTCTGTAATAAGTGTGAAAAACAAAAAGAAAGAGGAGAAGCACAAATTTAAAATTAAAAAATTAAAAAAAAAAAAAAACCGTAAACGGTTGGGCTTAAAAGGAAGGATCAGCAGTCCATTAATGCAACTTTCTCTACCTTCAAGTTTTGTCTCAAAAGCTAGCTTCTTTGCAAATCACAAACCCTCAATTTAAATCCATCCTCTCTCTCTTTTGTTTTTTCTATTTGTTCTTGGTTACTGGTGAGGCAAGAGCTTGAAGATCAAGTCCTATCAGATAAACTTAAGTCTCTTGTAAAATATCCGTTAAACTATACAGGCACCATCTCTCAATCTCATATTAGCTCTGGTGTAAATAATTTTGTCTATTTAAGCTTCCTTTTTTAAGAATATTGGATAAGGTATAAAAATGGTGACATGAGAATCCAAAGCCTTTTTTTTTCAGATTTTAAAATCTGAAAAAATAAAAATAAAATTAATCATTAAGTAGATTATATCTATATTCATAGAAAAATAAAAAAACCCAACAATTTTAAAAATTATGCTTTCTTTATCTTTACAGCAGTAATTACAAAAAATAATCCCTATTTCAAAAAGACAATCACGTTTAAAAATAAAATGAGGCATGCTAATAATTTAGTAATGAAAAATTAGTAAATAAATAAAGTTCTTAATTGGGATTCATGACTTTTATATAATAATCATCTAATTTTGAAATAAGTTGCTTTTTCATTTCGTACTACATATATAATTATTTATGATTATAAACACAATATTAAATTCTTATTTAGGATTTCATTTTATGTTTTGATGATAAACACATTTTTCTTCATGACATTTAACATTGAAAGAACAAAAATTATAAGATTTCTATATATTTCCTTTATGCCTTGCTTTTTTTCCCACTCATCAAAGTTTGTGCAAAAGGTTTAATGTTCTTCGATTCCCAAGCACGTTTATACATTAAGCGAGAGGTAGAAACTTTTCCTAATTGTAATTAAGACTTAAGAATATTAATTAATTCTAAACAAGATTTTACAGATTAACATGAAAAGAATCTCTCACCTGGTCTCTGGCACTGCTTTTGTTATAATGCGAACGTGGATCTTCTGAGGTGTAGATGGAATACCAGCCCTCGTGCACCTTGATATCACTACTCTGATCACCAAAAATTTTCCCTGGCGAAACCAAGTTAAATTCAAAATCATCGACCCATTCGAGGGTCTGAACTGTTCCTCTCCAAGCAATCACAATATCCCTCCTTCCTAAAACATCTTGCCCTTCATCAGTGGCCACAGCCACATATCCAATCCAGTTCGATTCTTTGCTCCAGGCTTCCCTCGACAATGGCCTCACGATAAATGCTTCCGGAACTTGGATTTGGGATGTCGCGTACAAGAACTTGGTCACCTGATACCTGTAAGGGTTGCCTTTCTCCAAACCCACTTTGGAGAAGAAATCTTTCTTGCCATACAGGCTGCTTCCAGCAAACTTGGATGCCTTCTCGGTGTTGAAGGCATCATAGGTAGCCTGAGCCATTTCTCCATAGTGAATAATGTAACGGCGAAGATCAATATCCAAAGGGTCCAAAAGCTCTCCCCAACTGTTCTGGCCGCTTAGATGCTTCCATCGTTTTGCTATACTACTACCCATCACTTTATTTTTCTTTCCGAAGCACTTCCTAAGAATGCGTTGTATTTTCATGCCTTTCAAGGATGCATTTTGTGTGCTATTCAGCCAATTATTTTTATAGCCCAAAGTTTGCTTGCATTGACGTTCAAATAGTCTTTCTATGCTGCAAGCAATGTAAGAATTTGTGAAGGGGAAAAAACCTTAATTATCTTGTCTAAATTTTCTTGCCAATCATTAAATATATACAATAATTTATCTGACTTAGAATTTTCATTTACCAACCCATATATTGCAGTCAGCATCGGGCAGTTCAAATTGACCAAATCTGGCCAGTCATGTTATCGGAGTAGAACAAAAGAAAATGACTCTTTATAGTTTTCCAGACCAGGTCCCAGGTTCTAATAAATGCAAATTTCACTTTGATTTGGCCAATTTTTAAGTTGAATCATATTTCTTAATGTGATGATTATCGATTCGTTTTTAAGTGTCGTGCAATTAATTACAGCAGGAATCAGACTATGATGTTTAAAATGATAGCTTGACAATGCACGTATACAACGTTATCCACCCTACTAAAAATATATAAAAATATATGTATATTAAATGCTTATACGGCTTGTTTTATCTGTCCAAATCATTAGATAATAAATAATGCACCAGTTTGTCAGTTTCGGAATGGGAGTTCGTCTATCTTAATACAGCACCATGTAATTAAAACCACGTAGGTGAGCCATACGTTCCTTTCACAATTATTGAATTTGCTAGCCATACTGTCAAATCGTCGAAGCTCAGATTCTTGGCTTTGAAGGGCATTCCTCTTTTTGCACCAGGAAATTCATCTTCCCCCCGAAAGTGTTCGAATATTAGGTTGTGAATTTTCTGTTAAAAAATGTATTTTCCCATTTCAAGAAATCAAAATGCTTTGCTTTGTATCAATTTAAAAAAAAAAGTTTGATATATATATATATATATATATATTATATGTAGCAAAAGACAAACATTTCCTACAAGCTTAATTTTGTTCGTATCATGAACACCTTAAAATAGAGGAACTTTGCTTTGAAGTTACCGCAAGAGAGCATTATGTGGCAGCAAAGAGATGCTTGCAACATGAAGAAGGTAAGTATTGGGACTTAATCAGATAGATACTTTGCCGAAGCTTTCAATTTGGGTGAAGTCTGTCTCTGGGAGCCAAAAGTTCAAGAGATTGGTACTGCAACTTTGAATTTAAGGATATCCTAAAGGCTTTTCTTTAATAGTAGTATTTAATAGTTAATATATAATTAAAGATATCCTAAAAACGTTTTATATATTCTTAGCCTGATATAAGTAACTTACAAAAATGGTATATATGTGCTACCAAAATACCTTAATCACTTTTGAAAAGTTCTCTTTACCCTGTCAGTTAATTAACTACTCGAATAAAAAAATATTTACGATTTTTGAATTTAATTTAATTTATTTATACAATCACATTTAAAAAATATATTTAGTAAATTTAAAATTTAAATTAGATTTAAACCCGTGTGATGCAGATACACGGGATGGCAATTTCAATTTATAATAATTTTTTAAAATAAAATAAAATCAATAATATGAAAAGAGTTTAAAAAAATTAAATTGTATGCATGTTGAACAATAACTTTAAAATTTTGATAACCAAAAAACATAAATAATTCTAATGAAAGTTTACTAATTATCAATGCTATCAAATAATTAATTAAAGAAAAATAAAAAATAAATAGTTGAACTATTAAAATGTAACAACAATTCAATCACACTAAAAAGCTAATATGAAATTTAACTTTAAAAAAATTCTATGTAACGAAAAAAAAAAAAGAAAATAATCTATTAATAAAAAATAATTATAGAAAACTTTTAAATGGAGTTTTATCATTAAATTGCTCTAGGAAAAAGTAAATGTCATAAATCTTTTTATTCTTCAAAATGTATATCCTTTTTTCATTTAATAAAAAAAAATCTACATATGTTAATAAATGCAAAACCTCATGCCTAATAGGAGATAATTTTTACAACTGTGCAGCTGGAGTTAACAATTGAAAATTTACAACCTAATATTATTTTCTTTATTAGTTGAATTTTTATTAAAATTTTGAAATAAAAAGTTGATTAAAACAAAATACATAAAAAATAATTGCATCCAACATAAAATAATCATCATAAAAAAATTAATGTTGAGGAATAACTAAATTTATCAATACCACAAAAGGCTTAAAACAAAATTATTTAAAAAAATCAAAGAAATTGTTAATACATTAAAAATTAGATTTGTTAATTGATTATAAAATAAAAAAATTAATAAATCAAAATAAATATTTATGTAACATAATGTCCAATAGCATTTCAACCGATCAATAGAATTTAATAAAAGAAAACTATATATTTAAACATAGTAAAGAAGATTATTGTATTATATGGATGTACTCACAAGCATGTATTGTATCAATTAAACAAGAATAAAAGTAATAGATTAAGGGAAATGGCAACTAAAAAAATAGATATAGGAATTTTAAATTTTAAATTAAAATAAAATAGTTGCTAGAGTTTTTGGGTGATAGGAATAACAATGCTTTAAGTAAGAAGGGTCTACTTTTGAGGTAAAATTTTCACTTTCACACAAAGATGAAGGTGGGTAGTTGTAAGGCAAACATTGGCTAAGATTTCTGCAGCATGAGATGGCCTTAAACATGTTCGAGATTGATACAAAATTCTAATTGATTTTGTAAAGCAAGTTATTTCTAGAGGTCATCATTTTATATTGATAATGTAAGACAATCCAAGAATCTTATTTATCAAGATAAAGTAAACTGTAGGTTTTTTTTTGAAATAAAGTAAAATGTAAATATTATATGCTAATGGTTGACTAACAATAACATTAGAATTAAGAGCAATTACATCAAAAATATTTAATAATGTTTATTTAATATATAAACTCTTCTAAAATTAAAAAGGTAATTAAAATAAAATCAATGAAACTTTTTATTTACACTTGAACATAATTAGCTCTACTTTATGGTAAATACAAAATAGAATCAATCGAAAATTACTTTTCATCTACCACTTCGCTTGCTCTCTCGTTCCATGATCTAAAATGAGAAAAATAATGGGAATTTGGTATACAAATCAATATCATAATAAAAACTTACAAAGTATAAAATAATATGTACAAATATATTTATAATTTAAACTGTAATAGAACTAATAATAATAGTCAAAACATTAAAAAAAATCAAATCATTAAATTTTCTAGAAATTTTGCTTAATTTTTTCAGAACCCAAACACATTATTAAAAATAGCTTATTATATGATTATTATGAAGCATAATTTATTATATAATTACAATGAAACATGAATTTGTAAGAGTTTCACTCCAAAGAAAAAAGTAAAATAGAAACTAAAATAATCAAAACCAAATATAAAGTAACAAAAAAACTTTAAGAAGTAATTTATTATATTAAATTTTGTGCATCTAATTCACCTGCATATATAAACATCATAAAGAAAAAAAAAAAAGAATTTAAGCTATTTTTACTACATGACAAAAGGAATATCAAGACAATGAGAAAAAAGTATTGAAATAATACAACTTATTTCTTAAGTATTCCAAAACACCTTTACTTATAGAATGGGTCTTGTTGTCTTAGAAATAATTATAGAATAATTTGTAATTTTTAAATGACTAATTGATTAAAATAAATTTAAGAACCAAATTAAGATCAATAATAGTATTTTAAATTGAGAATAATTTATACTTTACAATTATAATAATCAAATATAATGTGTATTAACTTAATTGGGAGAAACAAAAAATGAAAGATTTTGAAATTAGTGTAATAATGGTAATAAAATTCATTTGATATTATATATACCTAAATTAATTTTAATTAATTTAATAATCTATTAATTATTTTAAAATAATATATATACATACATATTAAACGTAAATATATAACACAACTTAAATTGTGGAGTAAATAAATAAATCATAGGTTAAAAATTTGGTAATTGAATTTTTTTTTTACATAAATGTAATTTAAGAGTTAAATATTTGCAATTGAAAAAGGAGGTGATCAAATTATTCTATGATGATGGCAATTAAAATTTTATTATCTTTAATATAAATATAATTGGGATTGATTTAAGATAAATAATAAAATATAAATGTAATTAATTTATTAAAAAATACATGATAATTTTTTAAAATTATTCACATGTCAATTATATAGACTATTCATGTTGGACAATTTTTTTATAAAAAAATTTTATTTTTATATATTTATATAAGATATAGAATATTAGCACTAACTTTTTTCCGTATCTCTATACAATGACTTTTTTATAAAGAAATTGCAAAATGTGCACTTAACAGTATTTTGGGAATATTTGGGATATTCCACTGTGTCCAATTGGCATATTCGACCCTTTCCACGAGACATGGGCTTGGTCTTATAGCATTCGCAAGTGGTCTAGTAGGCTCCATATCAAGATTTGGGTATTGAGACCACATCTTACAAGCATTGGATGACTTAAGGCCCAAATGGTTTCAGCCTAAGAATCCATCTCATCAGTCTTCTCTTCCTTATTGTACTATTTTTCCCTATACTAATACCTTACCACCTACAATTAATCAAATGAATTTTGGAAGTTTTAAATGATGTATTTGGTAGTGGAGATAGAAAGATGTTAAAGTTTTTATTTAATTTCTAAAGAAAATAAAAATCTACACCATGGTGGATATGAAGTCGAAGCCACTTCTTTATGTGCTACAAATAAAGAAAAGAAAATCCAATGATACTGGAACAATTTTTTTCTTAATAAACTATCTTATCCAGGTTTCACTTTTATATGCCTGTATGATATTTTGATTTCCGAATTTTTTCTGCTTACAATCAAATCGAAAACCAATCAGCATTTAGATGGACCAGCAACTGCCAATTAACCTGATTTCGATACGTGACCATGAGGGAAACAAAAGATGAATGTATCATTGTCTTGTAACTTAAAATGTCTTTAGAGATCGACCACAACTCAAAAAGCAACTATGGGCCCGCAATTCAGTCCACTCGGGTTCTAACTTTCGTCCAAGGATTGCTTTCCACGCTTCAACCATGCATGTGATCCCCTGCATTCGACCCTTTCATTGCCCATAGCGTCCTTTGCTTCCATCAAGCAGCCTAATTTACCCAAAATGTTAACAAAAACATCCCATTCTTTCCCGACCCATAC